AGACACCACCCCTTGTAGGAACTCCTGATATTGCTTGTGGTCATCTGGCAGAGATGGTAAAGATGGGGTAACTGCTTCATTTGGGGAAGAACATGAAATTGCTCCCAAATCATCAGAAATGTCAGATCCAGTTCAACTTCATCTTCCTCATACGCTGATGGGGCCAATTGGTGTTGGTCAGGAGATGGTAAGTAAGGCTCACGTACTGATCCCAGAAGCATAAAGTAGGCATCCCAAGGGCCCCAATGACCCCAGTATAAGGAATCAAGTGGCTAAGGAGGACCGCATGGCACAAGGTGGCACCTGGGTCTTGGAAAATCATATCTGGTTGGAGAATGGAACCCCATTCTGAGGGCCAGTTTCTAAATGATAAGATTAGGGCCCTTCTGGAACTTCCGACTCAACGGATGAAAAAGTCTGATCCTGAACTACCAGTGTAACCAACAGTACCGGTGATTGGGTACTCAGGGTTGCGGGTGGCAGAGAAGAGCAGATTTGTATCCTTCTCTGAAGTAACTATGACTCTGAATAAAGAGGGACACAAGGGGGGAGGGTGATGATAGGGGACAGCAAAAATGTCCTTTGGAAAGACATAGGTCTCCAACGACCCTAGGGTTTGGTGGGAGTTGGTGGAACTGTTGGATCTGATGCTTCCCTGGTCACAGTGGAAGTTGGATCCCACCACGGCCGTGACTATATTGGTACAGGGTCTGATCTGGATGTCGAAGGGATGTCTGCCTTTCAGTTTACACACTGGAACCAATACCAGAACGGACGTATCCGTGCTCCTTTGCACCACTTCCTCCTGCTGAGGAGGTTTACTTGGGTCTAAATCTTCAGAACCCATGCACAAAGACTCTCCCAACTTTGAAGAATGCAGACAGAGAGGGATCTCTTGTCTTCAGGGAAGCTTTGGAAAAAGATTTGTTTCTATGCTTGTGAGACGCCCCTTGCTCTCATGAGAAGCCTTCTCCTTAGGCTTGGAAGTCTTAGCTTTGACTCCTGAGCTTGTGCTCAGAGGAACACTTCTTGTTGACTGAGGCCAATGTACTTGGGGGGAAGGAGGAGGCATGGTGTGTGTCTCCATGGCCCAGATCTGATTGAGGTCTCATGGTCTTCTCCATCAGATATTTTCTAAACCTTAGCTCTCGACTTTCATGAGTTCTGAGAGGGAAGGAGAGGCCAATACTGCACTTAGATGAGATGTGAACTCCACCTAGGCAGTAAAGGCAGTGTTGGTGTTCGTCATCCACTAAAAGGAGTGGCAGCAGAAAATGCAATTCTTGAACCCTGGGACTCTGGGCATAATCCTAACTTCCCTGTGAGGATTTCCAGGAGGCAGGGAAAAATAACTAACTACACTAGTAGTTAACACTAAAAGAATAAAATACCAAAACTATTTACAATATATTTACAGACTGAAGGAGTCAAGGGAAGAAGCTGTAGACACAGAAGATTCTGACTTAGACCATGCAGCGGTAAGAAGGAACTAGATAGGTGCCAGTCTGCCCTGCCCCTTATGCCCTCGGTTCAGAACACGAAAAGAACTGTGCATGTGCAGACCAATGGACACAATTTAATAAAGATCTCCAGACTGAGGTGCATGGTGCACATGTGTACCCACATTTGAAATATACATAGGGACCATTCATTTGAAGAAATAGTAATGGGTCTTGGAATGTAATTATAAATGGAGAAATCATCATCGAGCAGGTGTGTTTCTAGTGCAGTCCCACAAGGATTTCCTTCTTGGCCCTATGCCATTTAACATTTTATCAGTGATCTGGAAAAAAAAATCCTCACTGATGAAGTTTGCAGATAACACAAAAATTGGAGAAGTGGTAAATAATAAAGAGGACAGATCACTGATACACAGCAATCTGGGTCACTTGGTAAACTGGGTACATGCAAACACATGAGTTTTAATATGCCTAAATATAAATGTATACATCTAGGAAAAAGAACGTAGGCTACACTTACAGGCTAGGGGGACTCTATCCTGGGAAGCAGACTCTGAAAAAGATTTTAGGGTGGAGGATAGTTAGCTGAACATGAGCTCCCAGTACAATACCACAGCCAAAAGGGCTAATGCAATTCCTGGATGCATAAACAGGGGAATCTAGAGTAGGCATAGAGAGGTTATTTTATTTCTGTAATTGGCACTGGTGCAACTGCTGCTGAACCAGTGTGTCCAGTTCTGGTGTCCTCAATTCAGACGGATGTTGATAAACTGAAGATGGTTCAGAGAAGAGCCACGGGAACATGTAAACAATTAGAAAACGTATCTTATAGTGACAGACTCAAGGAGTTCAATCTATTTAGCTTAACAAAGAGAAGGTTAAGGGGTGACCTGATCAGTCTATAAGTATCTACATGGGGAACAAATATTTAATAATGGGCTCTTCAGTGTAGCAGAGAAAGGTATAACATGATTCAATGTTTGAAAGTTGAAGCTAGACAAATTGAGATTGGAAATAATGCTCAAGAATTATTTTGGGGAAGTTCTATGGCCCTGCGTTATCCAGGAGGTCAGAGCAGATGATCACAATGGTCCCTTCTGGCCTATGAATCTATGAACAGTCTTCAAATATATTAAGGCTATTATAAAGAGAATGGTGATCAATTGGTCTCTATGTCCACTGAGGATAGGACAAACAGTAATCAGCTTAATCTACAGCAAGGGAGATTTAGGTTAGATATTAGGAGAAAATCTCTAATTATAAGGATAGTTAAGCACTTGAATATGCTTCTGTGGTTGCCTTAATTCAGCCCTCTTGTGAACAGGCATTATTATAGGGACCTGAATTACACACATACATGCTCTTTTTCCCCACAGAACTCCTGCCTCATTCAGTGCACAGACAACGAATCAGTGTTGTGTAATGAATGAGGTTGTTGTCTGTCAGATCCTTACTTCATTTTTTGCAGAAGTTGGAATGTGTGTGGTGAATGAGGCAGACCACTCCAAGAAGAGAAAGGATGGTTTCATGGTGAAGGCAGCTGAACGCTGCCATGGGGAAAATGGATTCTATACTTGCCTCTGCCACAAAGTTCCTATGTGATGGCGGGCAAGTCACTTATACCAAACTTTTCACAGATGAGCATTTATTGTGTGTTCCTCATTTTCTGGCTCCCCAACCTGAAACCTTGAGGTATGGTTTGAAGAAGTGCTGACATTGCAACTTTTAAAGTAAGTGTGTCTATGTGTCTACTCTCCTAGATTTTTCAAAAAAGCAAACTGAAAAAACACAAATTCCATTCGGTGGAATCACATTGACACCCACAAGGGTAATTAGCAGGGTTGGAACCTTTAGATCCACTGCACAGATCTCTGTCACTTGACCTAACAGAGTAACTGATAAGAGTATACAGTTACACGGGTAGCCGTGTTTGTCGCTTTTTACAGATCCAGACTAAGAGTCCTGTGGCACCTTATAGACTAACAGACGTATTGGAGCATTAGCTTTCGTCTGACGAAATGGGTATTCACCCACGAAAGCTAATGCTCCAATATGTCTGTTAGTCTATAAGGTGCCACAGGACTCTTTGTCACTTGATAAGAGTAGTATGTTGTCATCCTCTAGAACTAGAGTAGAGGGCGGAGAGAGGCTTTTGTCAGTAGGTTTTCACAGATATTTGTAGACAGCACAGGAATGGCGAGATTCTGGAATCTCTGATTCCATTCCCCATTGCCCCATCTCCTCACCTAGCCAGTCCCAATCTTTACAGCCCTGGATTGCTCAAGCCAGTCCCTGTCTCCTTACCAGCCAGTCCTAAACTCACCCTCCAGGCTCCATGTCAAAGTCCCAGTCTCCCCCTCCCCGCCATGACTCCCAGTCTCTCAGCTCAACCAGTCCCATCTCACCTCCCGTGGCTCACTGTCTCATTGTCCAACCAGTCCCAGTCTCCCCTCCTACTGTGCACTGGCATCCCTGTCCCTACCTCTGTTTCCACCCTGGCTCCCAGTCTCCTTCTCTAGCCAGTCCCAGTCTTCCCCACCAGTCTGCCAGTTCGTTTCCAGCCCCAGCTATCCCCCAGCCTCTCCTTCCCACATAGTTCCTTGCCCAAATCTACTCCTTCTACTATCCCACCTCTCCCCTGAGGTCTGGCTCTTGTCCCCTCTGCATTCAAGTCAGACTGCTCCTCCTCTACACTGCCTAGTTTCTGAGTGCCTCCACAGAAGCAATGAGAACACAGAAGAACCACAATGGCCTATAGGAGCACCTGCAGGGAAAATCTTACTCAGCGTCTGCAGCCCTGAGATGCAGCATGTTCAGTGCACACAAAATCTTCAGAAAATTTAGATGCCAAACTCTAACAAGTCTCTACTGAGCATGTGTGAACTAAATTTTCAAAGGCTTGTAAATTCGTCAAATTTGGGTCCCCCCCAGGACAGCAAAAAGCACATTCCTGACACAAAGGCAACCAACATTGACAGATTTAAATTCCCTGCTCCAAAGCATGGAGGCACAATTACCTCTTAATGAAATACCTTAATGAAAAAAGTAAGAATTTTTTTAACGTGAGCAAAACAACATATTTCCCCCTAATCTCACTCTCTGAAACAGATGAACTATTTTTGCTTCAATGTTCCCAAGACACTTGGCACAGGAAATTTCAACCCAAATGGTTAAAGTTTCACAAAGTTATAAGCAACTGAAAACAGGATCTTATAACGTGAAGCGTCAAGCAACCTTACATGAGTGCTACCAGTTCTGCCTATTATATAACACATACAGTAGATTTAATTCAGAGATAGGCTCATTTAAATAAGGAAATGCAACATGCTTCCTCACACAGCTTTCTTAATATTTTGTATACTGGAATTCACAAAAGATGACAGGATAGTCTCACATTTCATTAGTCATAGTATAAATACAAAAGGAAACAAACAAACAAAAGATATCTTTGTGAATTGCCCATAACACTTATATAATACAATGTATCACAGTGGGAAACTGTTTAAAATTATCATTCTTTAATAGCAATTTTTGTGTTACCTTGGTTTGTTTGGAGGAAGCTGTCGGCTTGGCCGTCTCATAGACTGATTTGGCTGTACCTTCATGGAAGTTCTAGGAGAAGATCGAGCAAAGGGGTCGGGTGCTGGAGGCTTTTTTGGAATTTTTTTCACCAATCGGCTCACCCATTTCTGTTGATCCTCTGTAGAATTAGCTAACAGTAGTAGATTCTTTGCAGTTGAAATATCATAATATACTGTAAGAGAAATTTAAAAACAAAATCTCATTATTAAATTTTTTACATGAGCTCACCTTAAAAACTAATGGCCAGATCCTTGGGTTCTCATAAATTGCACAGAGTAGAAGTCAATTGGTGCTATACAGTATAACGCTGCCACTTGGGCTGCCATGATCACAATGCTACTTTGGGTATAGATTATACCACAGCACCTTTAACATTCCTGCCAGAGGAGCCTTTCCAATCTATCCACAGTCTGCACCCCCTTCTTATTTCTTCCATTTGGAGGATAAGAGGATGATTATTCTCCATGTTACTAAGGAAGCAGGTATACAGGGAAACAAACATATGCTGTTACAGCCATCTCATATGCCCATAAGAGATATTGAGCATAGAGAACTGTGGAACTCAGCCCAGAGGGAGCAACTTTTCTGAGTGTCATAATCTGTATTGCCACATACACTGACATCTCTGTCCCATACCGAAATGCAACACAATCCACTGTGTAAGTAGCCTTTTTGGGTAGCCCTTCCCTATGATGTTGACAGCACTGCAAGTATGTGGCACACATGTCCCTGTGCTGGCTGAATGTCACTGTACTCCAGTGAGCTGGTCTTCCCTAACAGAATCCTGATATGCACCCAAGGATCTGTCACTCCAGCAGTTGCTATCTTTTACCTTGAGCTCATCTGAGATCACATCATGATGAGAAACCTGTATCTGAATTATTCCCTGTAGTTAATTGGCAACCATGCATTTATTCAATTATTCACTACTTACCTTTGCAAGGTGCTATAATCTCTTCCTTTTTATCCATGTGATCTTTGTGACATTTGATATGGCAGCGGCGGCACTCTAGAGCAGGAGGGGGTTTAAACATGTGCCACAGTGGCTTCATACAAGCCTCACAGTTGGTTGGAAAATGATACAGAGTTGGTATAAATTCATGTCCCTTGTGGCAAATGTAATTTGATTTCTCCCCCATAGGCTCCACAGGAAATTCTGGTTCCTTCTTGCTTTCTCCTTCATTGGCATACAGAATCTAGAGTTAAAGCAAAATAACCACAAGATTCATACACAGTGGGTGTAGGTAAAGGGCAATTATTTAGTTAGCAAAAATTCAGGAATACAAATTAGAGTAGGTTAGAATAGATTTTCTGACAATTTATATGATCTACTTTTCTCATTTGTACTTGTGCCTTCTTTAATAAAAAAAAATATTTTTGAAGCATCTTGCATTTATTTGCATAAGGAATTTTACCAGTTTATTTTTCTAAAAACACTAATTTATAACTACATACCTGGAATATCCTAGGAATCTCTTTGGAATCTGCTCTGTACACATCGGTCTGTGTGACTGGCCGGACATGGAACAATTTGCTGTAGAAGCAGATTTCAAAGAAATAAAATAAAACAAAAAAAAAATTTGATATTAGAGTTTTATCTAATTATTATATGTACTGATTTAATATATACAATTAATTACGGAATTGAATTGTATCTTAGCTAATAAGGTACATCAATGTGATGTAAAGATTGCCAACAAACAAAATTCTAAATCCACTTTATTCAACTCCTATTCCCAACTCTGCATATCAATCTCCAACCCTTAAACCACATAGCAACAAGAGCCAAATTAAATCTGAATAGCTGCATTCTGCACTTGTTAAGCAGAATGTTAGGAACCACTAAGAAAGGATTAGATAATAAGACTGAAAATGTCATATTGCCTCTGTATACATTGACGGTACACCCACACCTAGAATACCGCGCAATTCTGGTCACCGATCTCAAAAAAGATATATTAGAATGGGAAAAGGTAGAGAGAAGGACAACAAAAATGATTAGGGGTATGGAACAGCTTCCATATGAGGAGAGATTAAAAAGACTGGGACTTTTCAGCTTGGAAAAGAGGTGATATGATAGAGGTCTATAAAATCTTGACTGGCATGGAGAAAGTGAATAAGGAAGCATTATTTACTCCTTCACATAACACGAGAACCAGGGGTCATGCAATGAAATTAATAGGCAGCAGGTTTAAAACAAACAAAAGGAGTATTTCTTCACATAATGGACAGTCAATTTGTGGAACTCGTTGCCAGGGGAGGCGGTGAAGGCCAAAACTATAATGGGGTTCAAAAAAGAAATAGGTAAGTTCATGGAAGATAGGTCCATCAATGGCTATTAGCCAAGATGATCAAGGATGCAACCATATGCTCTGAGTGTTGCTTGCTTCTGTTTGCCAGAAGCTGGGAATGGACAACAAGGGAAGGATCAATCAATGATTGCCTGTTCTCTTCATTCCTTATGAAGCATCTGGCATTGGCCATTGTTGGAAGATAGGATATTGGGCTAGATGGAACATTGATCTGACCCAGTATGGCCATTCTTATGTTTATGTACTGCACTTGTAACCCACAGCCGAGTGTGTGATACAGTTTCCCCACTCTGTGCCAATCTGCAGAGGATATGAGTTGTTACAGCCCCCAGCTATAAAGTTTTGGCTCTTTAGTTCAAGCTATAGCTCCTCAAGCTCTTAGTTCTGGAGGTCTCTAGATCCCAGTGTGTCAGCCAAGAGGGTAGTCAGACACACACTGACTGACCTCAAACTATAGTTTAAATAACATATGACAACAGCGTCAATATCAGCTCTCAAAAATATTTTCTAAAGTTGTTTTCTTTTCAAGCCATCTGCTAATGTTCACCTGAAAGTTAACAAAGTAATGTATACCACAATTTCCTGTAATAATACTTACTCAATATCTAACACCATGTAGGGGTTAGAATGTTCTTTATCTTGTTCGCTATCATAGAACAGAATCTTCTTACTGCTTACAATTACATACTGTTAAAAAAGATACACAGGTATTAACATAGTTCTTAAAATACAGGCTTTATCTCAAGTATTTATTTCTGTCAAGTCAAATACTTTCATAACATTATTTCATAATTTAATTATTAAATAGCCAATAATAGCATGGTAGTTTGGGTCTACAATTTGAGCACAAAGTAAGTCATACTTTACATCACAATGACATAAAATTGTGATAATTTGGTAACAAACTACCTTTATATTTTTAAACACCTATTTTAAAAAGATGAAAGGAATGGAACCCAATAGAACTGCTAACAGGATACAAAGCCTTTGGTTTCTATGTTGCTAGCTTAATTTTGACTCAGATTGGTCCTGTACACAGTGAACAGGTGTCCCCTTCACAAAAATCACCACAGTTAGCACATTTGTTGGTAGTCTCAATAAAGGAGCCAAAGACTGAGTAGATAAGAGAAAACCTCCCACCCAAAAAGTTGTCCAGAATAGGCAGGTTGGTAGAGTAGGTAGAGAGAGCTGACACCACCATCGCCTATGCTATACCTGTTCTGTGTTTAAAAAAAGACATCAGGGAAGCTTGAGCTACACCACAGGCTGAAACACCATCAATTCAGGGAAGACATCCAGTTCTTTATCTCCTACCTATCCTAGTGTGTTGTTGGGATCAGCACCTAGATGATGAGCAGTTGACTAAAGTTGAACCAAGGCAAAATGGAGGTGATGCCGGTAGGAAGAGGGAAGCACCTGAACTCACCTCTTCCTCCCTTATCAAGGGAATCTGCCCTTGGATATGTCTATTCATAGACTTAGGATCCTGTTCAGACTCCTCACTGCTAGATAACCAAACAGTAAGCCGCAGGTGCGTAAAAAATGTCTACTGCCATCTGTACCCTGACCTAACAGACTCAGACCTATCAATAGTGATCTGTGCACGTACTATCTTCAAGACTGATTAGAGAACATATATGTAGGAAAGAAGTCACACATCTTTAAAAAGATGCAACTAATACAAAATCCAGCGAATCTGTTAAGTAGAGGTCAACGATTTATATTTCTCACCTTTTTCACCCACCCAAATTTCTTAGTGTTATTTCGGACAGGTAGTGATAACCAACCCTCTAATCTCGATTCTGCAAATAAATATTAAAGTAAGTATTTAAACAACACACATTCATCTGAGACCACCATGCATATGAAATAGCCTTTATTTAGAAAGAATAAGGCAGACATACAAATACCATAACCTGATAAGCAAAATGCCTTGCAACATTTATCACAGCAGATTTTTCAAGGACAAAAAGCTGTATTGCACAGCCAATACTAGCAAATAATGCCACTCAAAAACTAGTAATTCAGACTAAGAAAAAAGAGCCAATGTCTCACTATAAAATTATGCTATCACACATACATTCTCTTTAGTAAAAATAAGACAAAGACATTTATGATTTTAAATGCCTATAATTATTTAACTATCAGCCTCCAGCCACTAAAATTGCTTGTGTGAAGACATTAGTACAGAATACACAACATTCAGTTTTAGAGGGGAAAAAAACCTTCTAAATATGAATACACATAAGCAAATACATATTTTAAAGCCCGTATATTAAAGTTTGTATTTAATACATATATACTTTTATTATACACATTTAATATTTGAGGAAATTTATTGATTTACTGTGGGAGTTGCGGTGGGTTATAAATAAAATTAACTATTTTCCTGAGTAACAGCAATAGCTAAATCACAAGAGTTTTGGCATTATAATTAGAACTCCTTGCTCTACACCTTCTCCTCTGAACCTGTGTAAATCACTACAGCTTTCTCACCAGTAACAAGAAGTCAACCTTTGGCTAATCCTTTTGCCCTTACTGCATTCAGTATACTCTCACCTGAACCGCTTAATAAGAAATAGCTTTTGCTGCTAGTTTCTCACAATAGGAATATTTTAAACCACCTTTTCTCTGAAGATTTCAAAGTGGTTTTAAAAACATTAAGCCTCGACATCTCAACGGTAATTTAATATTTGTTTTGTGGTAGAAGCCAAAGATCAATCAGGATCATGCTCCCACTGTGCTAGGCACTGTATCAACACACAAGATCCCCCTGCCCCTGCTTACAAACTAGTTGAAGATAAGAATTTGTCTTATTTGTGAGGTAAGTAGTATTAAGCAGAACTGCTTACCTGCAATAATTGCTTTCTGATTATCTATATCAGAAGAGATCATCATACTTGTAGATCTCTGCCTCTGCACGGGAACTCTACATTCAAAGGTCTAACACATTTGATTTTAACAGGGGCATCTTGTTCCAGCAGCCTATGCATGGAATGTAACATCCCCTGGCCCTGTAACCACCAGTCCCTTTTAAGCAGGTGGTGAAATCATTCCTATGTGTACAAATGGGAATCGAATAACAAAGAGATAAACTTTATAGAACCCTCAACATTGTGGAGAGAAAGGTGGGAGAGAGGTTATCTAGAGTGATGTATACTCTATCGTCAGAGTATATTGGTTTGTTTGCTGGTACCCTTAATGAGGATGCATATTTTAATACACACACCAAGTACATGGGAAGTACTACACACACATTTTGCCCCATATGTCTGGCTTGTTAGATAGTAATGAAACAATTTAAATCTTCAGCAATCAGCTCAGTGATGAGCAACTCATGCCTCTAGCATCACATGTGGCTCTTCAGGGCCCAATATATGACTTTTAATGGTCTCAGTGGGTTTGGCTGGAGCTACTCTCACTCTGCCTGATATCAGACAGAGCAAGCAGAATGCTAATCAAAAGAGTTCTCCCCCGTGTGAAAAGAAGAAATATTCACATACTACTCTCCAACCTCTAAGAATTCAGCTAGAGGGGGGATAGAAGGTGAATCCTCCCATTTTACTGCTTCTGAGGGTTATTCTCTACTAAGAGAACAGAAAAAGTGACAGGCAGTTGTCCCTTACCCACTGTCAGTGCAGCTGCATAGTTTAAATACTCTTCATTGGATTTGCTGCTAAAACTGGCTCCACCCCAATAATGGCTAAATGCTCTCCCTCCATAACTGTTTCCACATACAGGGATAGGAGAAAAGCTGCTGCTGAAAAATATTCAGCCACCTCCAGGGAAAGGAATTGGGAGGAGAAGCTGGGTTTGGCTGGGTCCCATCAAGAACTGCTCAAGGAATTTAAAAAAGCTCTGTCAGTGGAGCTGCATAAGCATTCACCTGCTTCTGTTGTTGTGTAACCCTATAGCATGTTTCCCAGTAGCAGAAATATGAGAATCTAGTCTCTCTCCTCTTAAACTGCATCCTTAGTCTGGGGGCACATACAGGATGAGAATCTAGTTTCCCCTCAAACTGCATCCTTAGTCTGGGAGCAGGGACAAGACAGAAGAGAACATATTTCCTAGAAAATCCCCCTGCTGGCAGCTGAGATTTGCCTGTATGCTCAATGGACATGAACCATGTTTTATTTCAACAGGGCAATGTCCCAGCCCTGCCTTCTTATCAGAAAGGCAACAGATGTGATTTACCGAAGTCAGTATGTAATTAAACATTTCTTAAAGACAGCCTAATTTGGCCTGAACTCTGAAAACCCTACTGATCTGACAAGGGTCCCAGGATAAAAGTATAGTGATTATAACAGCAGCTAGAAAGAGACCAAAATCTAGTTTGTGTTTCTTTTATAAGGAGGACCAGAACATAAAGAATCTATTTTCGTCCTTACTTAAGTGTGCTGACAATATTCCAAACTAATATTTATCCTTATGTTCAAAGTTAATCAAATAAACAGCTCCATATCAAATAAATCTTTAGTCAAATATTAGATGTCACTATGGTAAAAAAAACCCTCACTTTAGTACTAGGAGGGCTGATCCATACAGTATGTGTATATTCACATACAATTAGTTCAAAATACAGAATATATGTTTATAAAAAGAGCTATCTTTCACCAAAGCCGCAAATAATTATTTTCTTTTTGCTGCTGGAAAAGTAATTTTTGATAACTTGCTACTGCCTTTTATGCTGACAAGGATCCATAATGAACAGGCAAATCTTATGTATTAGGGACCACTTTTTCAAAAACAGCCTCCAAGTTTTTTGTGTCTTAGTCATGTGACATCCAACTTTATGCAAAGAATTTGGGCAGGCCAAAATTGGATTTGCATAGGCAAGTAGTATCTGTACTCACAAAGTGAATGGCTAGATATTCAATTATTTAACTGGAGTAATTAACTGCTCAACTGGAACAAATAGTTAAGGTTTTGGATACCCAAAAACTTTGAGGTGCATAAAGTTAGGCACAGACACTAGATAGAGACTACTTTGAACATAGGGCAATAAAATCACCTTACAAAGTATTTCTACAAAATGATTGTTTTTAAACTATAGGTCTGATTTGGTTGCAAACAATGAACATTTAGAAAAAAAACACCAGGCCAATTCTTTGTTCATGCAACATTCTCTTTAGTATGTTCTGGATTACAACTTGTACTTCCAGTGCTTTTGTCAATAGTATATTAATGGTGTTAGTTATAAAAAAGGCCAAAAGGACAAAGTTAAAACAAAACGTAAGTGCACCAAATGGTTTCAGGGATGTCACCTGTGCTATCAGGTTCTGAAGGGATGTGTACACAAGACAATGGTTCTTCCTCTGAGTCAGAATCAGAGTCGAGAAGCATGTGAGAACTGGAAGGCTTAGTGGCAATACTGACAGAGGTAGAAGAATGCTGGTAGGTAAGAGACATGGACTCCATAGTGTGGGATTGAGTGATATGGACTAAACACCCAGCACAAAGGAGGAAAAAGGACAGAAAAGTTAAAACAGAATCACTAAAAACAGAATATTAGTTTTTACATTTTATCATTTAATACAGTATTTACAAAATGAACATATCAATCAAGAGAAAAAAATAATTGTTAGTTCGAATGAGAAACAAAATGTAATTTTTAATTCTTAAACAATTGAAATGAACTTTTTAAAAACAATTTAAGAAGAAAGAACTAAGTATAGTCAAAATAAAGATAGTGTCAGTTAGTGCATGGATATTAAGTGCTATCAGATTACTGAAAAGGTACAAGGAAGTACAGAAAAAGCAAGGAAGTCACGGAAGCATAAGAATATCGTTTAATGCTTTGATTTCCATGATAAAACACTATGAAACTGATAAAGATAGGAATATTAATAAAAAAAATCATACCAGGGAATCCATCATCTGCCTCAGCATCCCCAGGTCCACTGCCTATGCTGCTGCAGTCTAGGCCAATATGTATAGACTGGAGCTGTGAGCGAAGTTGTTCAATGTCGCTATCCTTGCTATCAAGTGTCATCTGCAGTTCGATTCGTATCTGGCTCTCCTCTGCTATTTGCTGTGAAAATGATTTGAAAAGGTTTGCCTTTTAGTATTACTGTTGTACTCTATAATTTCTTATTTTTATAGTATTTTCTTGGTGAAATGAGGACTTTACAACCAATCTTGAAATACACAACTATTTAATTTCTTTAGCTGTGTCATCCCTAAGATATGGAAAATGTATGCATAATAAATATGACATCTTGGAATAATTTTAAACTCTGTTTCAATTGCTTAAACAAATTTAAGAACATTTTATTGCTATTTATTGCTGCAAATTCACTTCTTACTGCCTGCATTTCATTGATCTCCTTCTGATATTTAATCATCATCTGGGTTAACTTTTCACGTTCAGATTTCAGTTCCATATGCAGTTTCCTATTCTCCTTTTCTTTCCTCCGCACATCAGTGTCAGCTCCACGTTTGACTGGATCCTTCCGATTCATGATCTCAGCCAACTTGTTTACTGCCTTAAAACAAAACAAAACACAGAACATACAATAAAGCCCCCATAGGTAAACAACAGGTACAAATGTCATCTCTCCAACCCATGATTAGCCTCTATTAAAATACTTTACCCACGAATTCAAAAATATTTGTGCATTTCCATCTAAATAAAATACCAATTTAATTCTGTGGATGAATCAAGTATTGTAAAAACGATAATGACATTTCACTCTGGAACAAAGTACTTTTGTTCTTTTACATACTTTCTTTAGATAGCCCAGTTAGTTAGAAGCCAAATACAACTTTGAATTGGAATGTCTAATATGCCTCTAGGATGCCTCGAGCACAATGCAGGAGCACAAAATCTGACACGAAGTCTAGTATCCAAACTTTGGCAGAGTTTATTACCAGATGCTTCAGGGAAAGATGAAAAACACAGAGGAAGGTAATTCAGAGTTGCTAACAATATAATTAAATCAAACTATGTCATAAGCAAAAATACATGACAAAACTAGCTTCTCTGAATCAAAATAAAGGATTTATCGGGATTAGGGATTTACACTGGGCTAAATCACACTTGGACAAACTGTTTTATTCAAGCACCATGCATCTACATTACAGGTCTGCACCCAAGATGTGCAAGTTTTCCTAAAGTAATCTGGTTTAGCAAAAAGCTCTGAGGATATAAAAATTGTGTCCAGGCTTCAATGAGTGCATACAGCTGGTTTATAACAGAAAGCAATTATTCCATTTAAAAATGCTATCTGCTGCATGAACAGTATATTATTCCAATTATAATGATCATCTGCTCATTCTTTTATACTTACCTGAGTTTTCAGTGTTCTCTCATTCAACAACTGCTTCTCAAACTGAGTTTTAATAATTGTTGTATTTGTTTCTTCCTCTTTTAGCCTTGCAATTTCTGCAACAAGGTAATAAGAAATCTGTAATGGCTAAATAGAGCATTAAGTGGTACACTTTTTGAGAACGAAAGCATTTTCAAATTAAATTCAAGTTGTGCAGTGAACACTCACGTTCTTGGACTTCTTTCAGTTTATTATTCAGTTCTTCTTTCTCATTAGCAAGATTAGCCACATCACTAGTTAGTGTCCTATTGGCTTCCTCCAGCTTAAAAAAAAAATTAAGTATATGTTACCACACAACAAAAAGTAATGCAACAGATTTACTTGATTACTTAAAAGAAGGAAAATACATCAGAATGAGACCATGATAAAAGAATAGAGGATTTGGAGCAGGAAGAGAAATGGGAGGCACAGAGGAGAGAGAGTGACCAAGCAAAGGTATGTGAGGGACCGGGGGTGTGGAGGAGAGAGAGGGGAGCTAAATGAAAAATGTTGTAAAGATTGTGAGATATGTAAAAAAGGAACAGGAAGAGTCTGCCATCAAAATCAAGACACTAACAAGCTCAGGACTTGGCAGAATACATGAAAAAATACAGCCATCTGGAGGTGAGAGACTTCAAAACAGAGAATGTGCAGGTTTAAGTGCTATATGGAGTTGAGAAACTTGGGATTGAAGAGGGGGAAAGGAGCTCACTGCAGCAAATATTTAGAATGAAAAGGAACTAAAGAAGAGTCTGCTGAAAGAGAGGGCAGGAATATAAGATGAGTCAGAAAAGCAAGAGCACAGAGCTGAAGATAATCATATACTGACATGAATTTCTTGCAAGACAGAGCAGGAATTCCATAGACAATTGAAGGAGAGGGTTAAGTTTAAGACTGGTAGGGACAGAAGAGCATATGGTTATGAATAATCAGGGTTAATTCAGATTTCAGAGATGTGGAGGAGGAGGCAGATTTTAGATAATGATCTGTGAGAGCTGGAGAGAGGTGATGGAACTGAAGTACAGAAGGTTTGGGTAATATGAAGGGCAGGTGAAGGAAAAGGAGAGACCCATGTGAGGAACACAGTGGAGGTGAAGATCCAGAAGATGTGTGTGGAAGCCCAGAGGTTGAAACTGAAGAAACATTTCAAGGAAGGAAAAGAGGTAGTGATACCAGTTAATGATGGAATAAACAGCAGTTGATGGAAAATGCAGACCACATGCCTACTGATTAACAGAGATGAAGTGGGTATAGCTCCACATTTTGTGATGTGACTAAGAATTAACGAGACACTGCAAGAAAGCAAGTTCTTAATTGAGAGTGCTGGCAGCTACAGCTGCTTCTTGCTTTCTAAAGGCCCGAAGGGCAGAGAGGGTGACCTATACCTACATGTTTAGCACATTAGGATCAGGGGATATAGAATTGGCAGGCCTGGATCTTTTCTCTGGAACTAGCTAATAGATCTGAATTCTTCCTAGGCTGTTTATAGCTAAGCCTATGTTTTAGTCACTGGTATTTTTAGTACAAGTCATGGACAGGTCACAGACAGTAAACAAAAATTCACGGCCCGTGACCTGTCCATGTCTTGTACTATATACCCCTAAAAAAAACTTGGGCCAGGGGGCTGTAGAGGTAGGGGAAACAGCCTGGGAGCGCTGCGGGGGAGGGTTGGTGGGGCTGGCAGGCTTCCTGAGCAGCTCCAATGAGAGCTGCATGGGCAGTGCCTGCAGGCAGGGGCAGCGCGCAGAGCCCCCTGGCCCCTCCGCCTAGGAGCTGCAGGGACATGCCGGCCGCTTCCGGGGAGCCCTGCCAAGGTAAGCACCGCCCCACACCCCAACCCCCTGCCACAGCCCTGAGCCCCTCCCACACCCAAACTACTGTTGCTGTGGGGGGTGGGGACACGGTAACCCGAGAGTGCCCAAGTAGCGGCCAGTGTGGCTGGCCAAGAGGCTGCCCGAGCTGCTCAGGCAGCCCTGGAGCCAACCGCTGCAGAATCCCTCCAGCCACAAACCCCTTCTAGCCAAAGGAACCATCTCCTAGGATGTCATGTTTCAGAACGACTAGGAATTTTTATGGCCGAACTACACACATCTGAAAAAATACGATTTAGAATGGAAAACATGACATAACCTTGATTATAGCAACGTAAACTGTATCATCGTACACAGATTTTTATATACACAACTCATACATACATACATTCTCAGTTTTGTTTCCATAGGTCCAAAGTATGGAAATAACTATTTTTTCATCCAGATGTGAAAAATATGTAAACGGAAAATGTTTCTCGGTATTTGTAATGATTTTTAAATTTCTAAATTTCAATTAAACAATATTAACCATGTAATGGCTTTTAAAAAAATAAATTCATGATCTCATACTGCTTTCCTCTAGTCTACTTTAACAAAAATCCAAAAATTTTTCAAGCTGTGTATTTCTGTAAGCCTCCAAATGTATCTTTGTTATAATGATTAAAGAACTTTTAGCATGCACAAAAATATACGACAGGAGTTATAACGCAGATTACTCACAGATCCTATGGTAGCATCTTTCTCAGTAAGTTCTTGCTTATGCCTAGCCATCATCTCTTTAATCTCCAATTCTTTCATGATCTTCTCTTTTTCCAAATCAGAGTACTGTTCTTCAGCAATGGAGCGAGCAAGTTGCTCTGAATCAGCTTTTGTCAAAGTTATCTCAAGTTGTGCAGCCAAGGAGTCTCTGCAAATTATTGAAAAATAATTAGTTCATGAAATGAACCTAAATGAAAACCTTTTCCAACTGAAGTAAATATCCAGATTTTCTGTACATATACAAATAAGTGGCAAACCCTCACCTCTCATCTTGTAACTCCTGTATCTTTTGCTGCATTTCTTTACAAAGTTTGGTCTTTTCTTCACATTCCTCTTTAAGCTCACGAACTTGGGTCTTGTACAAAGTCTAGAATTTTAAACAAAGAAAAGGAAAGAAAAAGGACCTGCATATTCTAGCTTATGGGGTATCTGAATGAATGAGACAAGACCATGTTAAATCAAAAATCCTTTAATACAGCAAGAGGCCAAGCACAGCAGTGTCTTGTCTCTCCTAGACCTGACTTAAGGCAGCAATACTTCCCAAAACCGTTTCTTTCACCTTCAATGCATGCACCCTCTCAAAGAACCTCCATCATCCTCACCCTCCTGAAACCCAGCTAGTGGGGAAAAGAGAACCCATCGAAATCCCCCCCAGCCACCAATACATTCCTCCATAAATGTGGTGTGCTGTCCTCACACAATGATTAGAAGTTCGAAAGTATGTATGCGTGTACAATTTATAAACCCACATACACACGTACATGCTTTTTCAAAGTGTTTTTTTGTGTATTGCAACATAACTCATTAAAAATACTTCAGAAATTTGTTTTTAGAGAGGTTTTGAAAAAGCAGTCTTTCCAAATCTATAACTATTAAGACAATTCTGCATAAGCTATCATGCCCATTTAATGGAAACATAACTAACAATCAAGAATTATTTATTTGTTCATGTACAAAGTTGATCTCCCACAGAAATACATCTTTTTATAAAGATTTTTTCTTATTTTAAGCTGGCAAATAAGTCATTTAATTACAAGACAAATTGAATCCTTTTCTTTCTGTTTATGCATTGTTGTGACTGATCCTACTTTTCCACAAGTATTTGCAGGGTAGTTTATGTGAACAAATTTCAGACTACATGAATGTTTGCAGACTGTTCATTAAAAAGTATTTGCAAGTCACTATCTGAGATGCAACTGTTCATCTAACTTAGATGGTACTGTTTCTGCTCCTTAAAGACTGGATTGGTAAAACAAAAACTAAAATACATACTGAGAAATATTGTTCAGCTTCAAGCTGGTCTTGAAGCTCTTTCATTTGTCCATCTGCATCCTGACGTTCTCTGTAAAGTCATAAAACAGTGCTTGTAAGCAAAATTTGTGAAGATATTCCAAACAACTACAGAAGGCTGTGTGCATGCACACACGTCTATAAAACTCTCTTATATCTTAGCTTCCCCTGATCAAAGTATGGTCTTCTATACCAAATCCTGAGGGAACCTCTGTCCCCCAAGGTCTCTCTTGTTCCCCTATTCTGCCTGGACAGCTATGAATACTATGCTCTCTTCCGATCTGGAAAGGTTAGTGAACAGCCTTTTAAACTGACAATACTGTTACATGGGCTAGCCAACAAGAGACATTACTAAAGCAAATAGTCATTGGCCTTTTCTCTCATCTCCATGCAGAACATAAATAAAGTGACAATCCGAGCTCCAGAACCTCAGGCAGTCAGAGTCGCAAGATGGACCTTGAACCTTAATTTAGTGCTCTTCATAGTGCAGATTTTTTTAAACACACCCATTATTAAAGCAACTCGTTCAATCACTAGTCAGCACATATGAATGATAATAGTAATACTTTGCACTTCTTCCATCAGAGGACCTCAAGAGTGCTTTACCAATGGTAGTGAATTAGACCAAAAAAGCCTCCACATAACTGTCATTTTACAGATGGAACAAAAATGTGATCTTTCTAACACCTATATTAGTCTTGCCTTTTCAGCCACAAGACCATTCTTGCTCCAGAAAACAAATTGATAATTACAGAGAACAACAAATCTCATATGAAACAAACTCCCCTTCCCAATTTGTTTTTTTAGTATCATCATAAAATATTTCTTTTAATTAGTGGTAACTGATTAGTGTTTGTAAGTCACACTGAAGATGAAGTTACTAAGTGCTAAGACTATCATCTCATTTTTAGATGCAAATTTAGAGGTGAGCAATCATTTTAGTCTGATTCCAATGTAGACTCTCAGGGAAAGCTAATTCTAATCAGCTTTTCATTTATCTCAAATCCTAACATGTTCCTTTATGCCTTCACACAATCTATTTTTTGGAAAACAGCATTTCAGAGTAGCTTTCTATTTGAATCTACAGGTGTAACTCATGTGGTCAGGAATTTTTCTTCTTTTTTGTAAGCTCTTTGGGGAAGCAACCATCTCTTAGTATGTGTTTGTACAGAGCCTATTACAATAAGGCCCCAATCTCTGCCAGGACCATTAGATACTACTATAGCATAAACAACAGCAAACAACAATCAGGAGTGTCTAGGATATGACTGATTTTGTAGAGTCAGGATTTTATATACACATGGCTCTCAAATTTTGCATAAGATAGATAAAAATGCAATTGAATTTTTAAAATTAAAGAATTAAATAAATCTGTGATGCAGGTCTACTTACTTGCGGAGTTCATTATTTTGCTTTTCCAAGCTCAGTTTGATTTCCAGGAGATGGTTATTCTCTTGTTTTAGCTGTTTCTCTGACATTTTCAATGTGTTGACTTGTTGTGTTTGCATCTTCAGGTCATTCTGCGTGAGGCAGCGCTTTTGTGTTTCCTGTTCTATTTTTAATGTCAAGTTTTTAACCTGAAAAATAATTTTTTTGTTTGTTACATCAGAGGAATTTTACAGACCCATACAGTAAGGAACTCTCAAAACAATATTTACACTTTCACTGATTCTCTATTGTTTTTATTGTATTAACTATGAACTACTGTACAGCACAAACATGTCTTTTTTGGATGTAAAGATTATTCTATAGCTAAAATTATCTCTAAGTAGAATAAGCAAGTTTTTAACCCTAATATTAGAGAATTTTACATTCCACGTAACAAATTTTTCTAAGTTTGTCACAATGTTGAAAAACGTCAGAAAATGAAACTTTACACTCTAAGGAAGCCTTCCTGCAACCTACAGAAGTGAGTGTGGGGATATACTTACTATTATTTTCATTTGTAAAGATTTACAGATACTGCCCATAATCAGGAAACTTTAATACTTTTAAAACTGGAACAAATTTTACAATATCCAAAAGGTTCCAATTCAGACTACTTATATAATTGCTACTTACATCTTCATTTAGTTTATCCTTTTGTTTAAGCAGCTCATTTATTTTCTGTTGCGACTGTTTGAGATCACAGTCCAACATAGAACACCGCTTTTCAATTTCTAACAAGCCATTTTCTACTTTTTGCTTTGAAGCTCTCTCCTCCAACAACTTCTTTTCCATTTCTGTGAAATAAAAGAATTTAAATGTGAAGTCAGTAAGAGTTGTGGGTGCTCAGCCCGACTGAAAATAAGGACACTTATTTAGGTGCCTAGCTGTGGCCAAAATTTTAAACTTGGGTGCCTACAATTTAACATACTTTGGATTCCTGTGGGATGAAAGGTACTAGATGGCATGACTGAAACTGATGATAAAATTATGAGACACACAAAGATGAGTGACTTAATATCTTTTACAGGACCAACTTCTGTTGGTGAGACAAGCTTTTGCGCTTATATAGAGCTCTTTTTCAGGTCTGGGCCACACAGGCGGTGCCCCTGCCAATTTCAAATCAAAAGCATGGAGGTACCAGAGCTGTTAAAGAAAAAACAAAACAAAAAAAAAAAGCTCACTAGACTTTTTTTTAACATGAGCAGTAAGCACAATGGTGATTCAATAATACCAGGTGGTTCAGCTGGTTCATCAGCTTGCTGAACAATTTGAACTTTTGCCATCCTATTCTACGTGCCATTCCTGTGAAAATATACCCAAATTTGGCCACATAATAAGCCTTTGAAAAATCATAGCTCATATATACTCAGTAGAGACTTCAATTTTGGCAGCTAAAATCTCCAAAGAGTCCATCCTGAATGAGTGTGCTTGAGCATCTCACAGCTCCTAATGTAAATCAGCCTGCATATGCTCCATCCCCACAGAGCAACTGAGCATGCTCCAGCTCAGGACTACAAAGGAGATGCCAGACTTCCCTGAAATGGCTTTTCCCAGCTACTCTGGTCCAGGTTGGGGCTGGACACTGGAACTGAGATCAGGGAGCCTGTCTCTCCTGAGCTCTCAGTCATAGGTGCTGAAAAAAATAGTGGGTGCTCAGCACTCACCAGCCACAGCTATTTGCCACCCTCGCTCATCAGCTGATGGGGAGGGGGGCGGTGCTGCTGCCAAACAGCTGTTTGGCAGCTCAGGGAGGGGTTTGGGGAAGGGTGGAGAGCGGCCAGTGGACGGGGGCCTTGAGGAGGGGGCCGAGTGAGGACAGGGACTCAGGGGAGAGGGCAGAGCAGGAGCAGGAAGAGGCAGAGTGAAGGCGGGGCATGGGGGAAGGGACACAGTGGGGGCAGGGCCGCAGGGCGGAGCGGGATAGAGCACCCCTAGGGAAAAGGAAAAGTCAGTGCCTGTGCCCTCAGTTATTCCCCTGCTGGTACTGAGGCAGCACGGAGGAGGAAAACGATCAATTTGAAAAAAAATGATCAATTTGAATGCAAAGGGGACAAAAGCCAGATGCCAATACTCTGGCGGAAGAATCTAAAGCATCAAACACCACTCTGAGACCATGCTTTGCCACATTTTGTCCCTCAATCAAAATAGCATTTGCCAGCCTTCTTTTATCATCTGGCAAATCTTGAACATACAGAGTCACCTTCTCCCATAGATGGAACTGATAATAGGCCAACATCACATGGCAATGAACCACTTTAATAACAAGGGAAGAGGGGAAAAAAACACCTCTCCCCCAAAGGTATCAATCTTTTCCCCTCCGTCAGCAAGACTGGAAGGACTTGGCCTGACCAAAGTCTGTTTTTGGCAGCAGCCACAACCAGCAAATTAGGCACAGGATCTACGAAAACAAGAAAACCCCTAATGAGAGATCCAATACAGTTTGCCAGCTTTTTTTGGAAACAGGCTGACAGGAAGCAGGAGCTAACCAAACAATCTTAGCAAGCTGTAAAAGACCATCCAGAATTGACAGCGATAACTTATTCCTGGAGGTAATCCCAAGTATGTTGAATACTGGATGGGAGGTTTCCTCCACAGTCACGGAAGGTAGGTTCAATGTGGATTCCACGCAATGCACCAGGTCATGAAACTGCAAAAGTCACCTCTACCTCAGGTGACAAATCAAGATCGACGTCCATTTGCTCTTGTTCAATAACAGGCACTACACATCTCTTCATCCTCCTCTTCAGCCAGAGCTGTCAGATCGAAGGACTGCTGAGCCACTGGATCCTTATCAGAAGAAAAATCACTTCTCCATCCATAAGAAGGATGATTCAAAAAATTCTGCAGTGGTACAGAATGGAGACAAGGACTGCCCATAGGAGGAGGAGCAAAGGAGATAGGGAACACAGGCCGAAGAGGCGTGAACTGGGATGAATCAGGTTTCTTAATTCTTCCTTTATCCTCCTCTAAATGAGGATCTGAACTTCGATCACTAAGGAACACTTCTGAGAGAACAATGGAACTGGAAAGTGGAGAGAGATAAAAGGTGAGAAAGATCTGCCAGGGGATCCTGTAGTAGACTTAGGAGAGGAAGCAGAGATGCATACTGAGAAACACTCTCTTCTGCTCTTCTCTTTTTTCAAGTGAAGAAGATACAGACTGCAGAATGGATGATGCATGTCTCTTCCTCATTGCCATCTGCCTTGCTCAGATCCAAGGAACGCTAAGACAAGGGAAGGTGCACATCAGTCACCACTGTAGAAGTCCTTTTCAGATCAGACACTCTTTGAAGCCTGTCCCACAGACCTGGGAAGTACCATATCCAGATAAATACTCAACTCTGCAGCTCTGATCTTCAAAGTTGAACCCAGAACCAACTTGGATTTCAAAGTCGGAACCACAGAAGCCACATCAGAGTTCAATAAGTTTCTGATCCAATAAGTCTAATGTACAGGATCTGGCATTGCTAACAGTGACCATCTTCTTCTTCACCTTCTTTCTTGGAACCGATAGAGCCGGAGCCAAGGACGTGGGTCTAGGATCCTTAGAAAGCAGACAGCCATTTTCCCACCAACACTGCTTCAAAGTCTTGACAACTTTAACAGAAGGATGCGGAGTTAGAATTGATGAAGAGCTCGACATCCTGGAACCGTTCAGCAGCTTGTTTACTGGAGAAAGCCACAGGCACCAAACCTAGTCTCTTAGGCTTCACATCTGATGACAACCCAAGAACCAGAGGGTTTAGCAGCTAGAGCTTCCTTAAAGGAAGTACCTGAGTCTATTGTGCCCCTCTTTGAACGCGCTGGGCAGGAAATTCCAGCAAATGAAACAGAAAGAAGGAGAATGACCTTCCCCCAAGGACTTCAGGCACCTAATATGGTTGCCCGACACTGGGAAGACAGATGAGCACCAAGCATGTCTCTTAAATCCCATTTCTTTCTCTTTGGTTCTGCCATAACACGGAACCAAACCTACCAACTCTACAAAAGCATCTACACTTATTACTATACTTAAATTACACTACACACTAAAAACAACCACCACAAAAACTATCAAAGGTACTATCAATGGAGAAAAAACCCTGGATCTGAATGGATCAGAGAAGTTAATTTCCATTTAGGATAGCAGTTGAAAGGAACTGAGGTGGTAGAGGACCCCCAGCACTCCCTTATATGGCCTTGTGCTCAGAATGTTCAAAAACACTGAGGGGAAGTATCGGAGAGGGCGCACAACTGCTCCAATGAATATTGCTTGGAGAAGGTTCTGCCGTTAGGCACCACCAGGCAGTGAAATACCCATAAGTTGGAATACGCAGAGCCATTCAAAGAGGATAATGTACATGACATGCAGTGACTGCCTGGACTAAAATCCTTTTATTTATCCCCAGAATAGCTACCAATAGGGCAGTGCAAGAATCCTTAAATTATTCCACCAATGTACCTTAACCCTAACATGCAGGAGAGGATAATTCAAACAGCATCCGCATTCAAACCTTGGCCACTCTTGGGATGGTCAATGGGGGGAAAAAAACTGTGCCAAATGTGATTACTTTATGTGATCTGAACAACTCTAGAATTTTTAATTTATATACAAAACTCTTGAATCAGCTTCCTAACGTGATTCAGAAGTGTATAATCTTATAAATTTCAACTTCACAATTAGCATTATAAAACTTATATTATCTAGGTTACATAATTTTAAAATTAAGATTTGAAAGCATACCTTTCATGGCTTCAGACTTGGCTTCCTCAATAGATTCATAGATTTTATTTTTGTCTGCTAATCGTGCTTTTGTGGCTTTATGTTCAGCTTCTTCTTGTTCCAAGTTCTGCTGCATAACCTTGAGTTTATATGTCATGTCTATTTCCATGTTGCTCTTCTCCTGTTGAAGTTACAGGAAAAAGGAAATTGACTTACTTGACAAAATTATTCTTGACTGCAAACTAAAGCTAAAATAGTTATGAATAGTAGTACTATGGAGCATGACTAAAAGGCAATACACTGACAGAAGAAGACATAGTCCATGTTCCAAAGAGCTTACAAATTAAGACATCAGTCCTGCAATTGATTTAGTGTGGGCACAAAGAGGCACTGCATGACTGCAATGGTACTCCTGTGTGTAGAAAATTATTGGATTGAGGCCTAAAAAGGGAGTACTATGTCAAGTTAAATATGGTTCAAAATTTAGAATTTGTTAAAGCAAGGTTTTATAAAACTTAATACCAATAGAAAATTTTTCATAGATTTGATTAAATGCTACAAATAACAGTTTGTTTTCTTTACAATTTAATATAGTAAAATAAATTTGTACAGAACTGTAGCTTTACATGGCACTTTACAGAGAAAGAAAATAACATGGTTCCTGACTAGCAGACTTTATAATCTAAGTGAGAAAAACACAAAACATACAAATAGAGAAAAGGCAGCAAATGTTAAAGCAAATAAACATAGTGCAAATCGCATTCTATAATGCAGCAAGTAAAAAAGCTCTACGCTTCAGCAAGTTCTGATTTTTCAATGGGGACTAAAACAACCTTGTGCACAATACAGCCTATACAATAGAGCATCCCTATAACATCTAATCTGCTCTGGGCAATCTTTCAACATGTTGCACAGGGAGCTTTCTAAGCAATCTGTGTAAAACACCAAGAATAAATTCCTCTAATACATTGGGGCCCACAGACTACATCTAAGATTTCCGAAGGGGTCCACACCTCCATTCAAAAATTTGTAGGGGTCCACAAATGAAAGACGATTGAAAACCACCGGTCTAAGATATTCCTCTATCTTAAAAATACATTTATTGATTTCCTACACATGCTGAAAATTATTTAAAGAGAAAATTTAGGGAAAAAAGTTACTAATTCAAGTAAGTACCATGGAGCTTCAATCTGACTCAAGTTTAGTTTCCATTAATACCATCATTTTATATTCTACCTTTTATACTGCAAACCAATTCTACTTTAAAATGTGCAGTTACCTTTTCCAAATCTGTGAACCTCTCTTGTAATTGTCTCTTCTCCACTTCTGCTTTGGCTAATGTACTCTTTCCATTTTTTACTTCTTCTTCTAGGCTAGATATTCGACCTAAAAATGTCCAAAATATCAACCAGTCAGAAAAAAAGTTAGCAATAAAAAGAAAAAAAGTTAGCTACAAAAGTTAGAACAAATACATTCACATTTAACAGGTGATTCAGAGGTATTAGCAACATTTTACATCTACTGATGACATTTTATTAAGGAAAGATACAATTGACTTGGACAATGTATTAAAATTAGTTACAATTAGATCAAATAATTACACTATACTCTTTTGTATTTCAGAAACATGAATCAATGTAGACGTATTTACTGTAATACCTTGTAGATCGCTGATAATCTCTGACCCATGACTTCGATCTCTTCTTTCAGATTCTAGGGCTGACTGAAGATTGATGAAGTCCTTCTCAAGTTTGAGTTTAGCATTCTCCAGCATGCAGTTTTTATCTTGTAATTCTCGATTATTAGCTTCCAACTGCTGGATTTGCTTTGTACTTTCGGTCTGGTTCTTCCTTAACCTGGCTGCAGTATCAGACTCTGTGCGTAATAAAGCATTGGCTTCATCCAGCTATTGATTAATAAATGCAGATTTTAGACAATTAAAATGCAAAACAACCATCTCCATTACAAATTAATCAACAATTTATGAAGGAAAAAGAAAAATATGGAAATGTTTCTAACATTACATTAGTAAACCAACATTTCATATTAAAGAGCAACTTCTGTAACTATTTGCAATTTTCTTCTGCTAAGTAGGAAGCCTGAACTTCAATAGCCTATTATAACAATGACTTTAAATTAACACACACACACAGAAATACAACTTGCCTGTCTTTGTAGCTGATTGATTTTCTCATTTGATATCTGCGAGTTCTGATTTCTCCTTTTTAAATCTTCAAGCTGGTCTTTCAAACTGTTAACTACAATAAAATAATCATATGTTACCTCCATCACACACTGATTCACAATCTTTAAACAGATCTTACCAACAAAACAACAGTTCTGTTATCTTATGTTAAAATCCCCGTGTACCACGTTTAAGGTTCTGCTCCACATACCATCATTTTCCAAATTGCGTTTTTTATCTGCTTCATGTTCTGCTTTCCGCTGGTATTCTGCATTCTTGTGCTGAAGAAGAGCCTTCTCTCTTTCTAATTGCCTTAATGCAGATTCTACATTCTTCCTTGATGTTACCTGGAGATAATTATAGTTAAGTTCAAATAAAATACACAGAACCATGGTATTACTTTAAAGATATAAAGGATAGCTCATGGATTCCAATTAATTTACAAATACACAAAAATGTATTCCATCTGCTTGCTGTATACACACACCATAACACTTAACAGCTGTGTTTGTATATAACTGCAGAACAATACACAATTGGCAAATAACTGTACAGTCATAAAATTCTATTTCTAGGGAATCTGGGTAGTCAGATCATCAGCAATGGATGTAAGGCTGGTTCAAATCCACTCCAGACTGGCAGTGCCCGAAAGCTGTTACCATATGAAGGCTCTGTTGATGGTCTATGTTAAATGATTGTGGGGGCTTATGTCTCGTTTCCAGTGAACAAGTATGCAATGAACAAGCAGCATCAGCAAAACTGGCAGACTCAGCAGCAAAACCAATGATTAAATGGGCATGACAACTAAGCTATAGTCATTCCCTCCAGAGGTGGTCCCTAAACATAAGGATTGAGGCACAAGGATGGGGCAGTAGAGGGATGCTTGAACTGCCACTACCTGTTATCTGCTCTATGGAGGGAGTATTTCAGCCTTCAACACTATCAACCCTGCATCTTTAACTGGAATTCAATTCACACACATTTTATTTAAATGCTATTTCTCTACAAATTATTAACTAAGGCACAGGACATAGTAAACATGATTCTGGAATCAATTAAATAATGTAAGAATCACTCTACCCTCCTCTTGCCAAGATATTGCAATAGTGGCAGCACATTTATGCTAGGGTACACTGTTAGAACATAAACTCATGTTCTTGTGCCATAGTTCCATTATTACTTAAAAGTTGGTGTATCCTGAGAAAAGTAAACATACCTAACACACATAAGAACACTTAAGCTATAAGTGCAATAGAAAATAAACTGATTTACCTCTTCATCTAGTTCTTTCACGGTCTTCTCTAAACGAGCATTAACAGACCTGAGAAATATGAAAACAAATATTAGAACAAAGGCAAACATTGGTTATAATGAAAAACAGAATAATGCGGATGTGTCTTGTGAATTTTTTATAGTGAATTCTGCTTTAAGCAACCACACAAACACTGAGAAAAAAATAATTTGTCCAGTAGAGGTGGTCTTCTCTAAAGACAAAACAAAAAGGTGGTCAGGGATGCAACTCTATGCTCCGGGTATCCCTAAACCTCCGACTGCCAGAAGCTGGGACTGGACTACATGGGATGGATCACTCAATAATTGCCCTGTTTTTCTCATTCCATCTGACACATCTGTCACTGACCACTGTCGGAAGACAGGCTACTGGGCTAGATGGACCACTGGTCTGATCCAGTATGGCCACTGTTATGTTCTAAAGGTAGTGGTAATCATATGGGGCTAACAAATTGGCTGTTTAAAGTGGGATCTCCTTAGTGGAGCTAGGGTCCCTTAAGTATGCTTTTAATTGTATTTTAAGTTTTTAAAATGGAAAATTAAAAAAGGTTTGGCATAAATATACCAAATATAAACCACTATCTCTTACCTGCACTTCTGTTCTAGTTCATCTTTGGCTTGTATTTCATTACTGAGTTGTTCTTCTAACTTGCTCAGTTTTTTCTGAAACTGTGCAAACTGTCAGAAAAAGTATGGTCCACATATAAAACACTATCACGTAAAAATGCGTGTAGTTCAGTTAAATAACCAAGACAGATGAGCAATGAAAATCAATATAATCTTTTAATTTGATGGGAACAGAAAATTATTTCTCAGCCAGTCACCACCACTGGATTATTGGGAATTAAAGTTACATCTCTGCAAGATATTAACGCTCATGAAGATTCTTCATGAAGATATCCATAGAAACAAAACTTGTTGCATACAATAGTAAAATAAAGCTAACCATCACAGTATTATGTGCTGCATATGGTGAGCCACAAAAGCTCCACAGGAATAGAATGTTGTCTCTCCTTTATTCTCTCTAACCCCAACCCTCAAGAGCAGATTCTTTGGATTAGTATCTCCAAAAAAAACCCCTATATCAGGCATATAACCAAAATGCATGACATTTTAAGAATGCCTCTAAGCATGCTCAGGTAGAACACATCATGAAAGAAGGTGAGAATTTCTTAGTCTAACACTTGCACAGAACCTAACTTGTCCCCGTTACATTTTGGAAAACGCCGTATTGCCAAATCCCAACATTCTAAAACCGTAAGTTAATACACAAAAATTCATGAGACTGGGTTAAAAATCATAAATTTGGGAGTTTTTAATTGCCTTCTGGGCTTTTGAGTCTATAGGGTTCATGTTTTCAAACTTTTTTCTGCAACCATGAGGGGCAAAAACATTTTTTAAAAACCAAAATTTGAGATGGTAACAATTACATGACTCTAGGAGCTGGGGCATTAAGAAAAACATGAAATATTATGAGATTTGTGATAAAAATTACAAGAGTTGGCAACACAAATATAGCATTTTATCAATCCTTCGTATTTTACAAGTCAGAAATATAGAAAATAAAATATTTGCTATTGAAATGTACAATTGAAGGTACTATGTCACATAGGGTCGGTCCTGGGGCCAGTTTTGTTCAACATCTTATTAATGATCTGGACGATGGGATGGATTGCACCCTTAGCAAGTTTGCAGATGACACTAAGCTGGTGGGAGAGGTAGATACGCTGGAGGGCAGGGATAGGGTACAGAGTGACCTAGACAAATTGGAGGATTGGGCCAAAAGAAATCTGATGAGGTTCAACAAGGACAAGTTTAGAGTCCTGCACTTAGGACGGAAGAATCCCATGCACCGCTACAGGCTGGGGACCGACTGGCTAACCAGCAGTTCTGCAGAAAAGGACTTGGGGATTACAGTGGATGAGAAGCTGGATATGAGTCAGCAGTGTGCCCTTGTTGCCAAGAAGGCTAATGGCATTAGTAGGAGCATTGCCAGCAGATTGAGCGAAGTGATTATTCCCCTCTATTCGGCACTGGTGAGGCCATATCTGGAGTATTGCGTCCAGTTCTGGGACCCCACTACAGAAAAGATGTGGACAAATTGGAGAGAGTCCAGCGGAGGGCAACGAAAGTGATCAGGGGGCTGGGGCACATGACTTACGAGGAGAGGCTGAGGGAAGTGGGCTTGTTTAGTCTGCAGAAGAGAAGAGTGAGGGGGGATTTGATAGCAGCCTTCAACTATCTGAAGGGGGGTTCCAAAGAGGATGGAGCTTGGCTGTTCTCATTGTTGGCAGAAGACGAACAAGGAGCAATGGTCTGAAGTTGCAGTGGGGGAGGTCTAGGTTGGATATTAGGAAACACTGTTTCACTAGGAGGGTGGTGAAGCACTGGAATGGGTTACCTAGGGAGGTGGTGGAATCTCCATCCTTAGAGGTTTTTAAGGCCTGGCTTGACAAAGCTCTGGCTGGGATGATTTGGTTGGTGTTGGTCCTGCTTTGAGCAGGGGGTTGGACTAGATGACCTCCTGAGGTCACTTCCAATCCTAATCTTCTATGATTCTATGCTTGGCTCTAAAACCACTGGAAGAATTCAGCAGATCCTGCATGCAATTTTAAATGGCAATAGCTTCCTTTTAAAGAACACTAGAAACTCCTAAGCTGCACAGTATGATGGAAAGGAAGTACAGAAGCACAGGATGTATTTATTTTCATATTTGCATGAGCTTTTTCCACAGCTGTTTTTAAAGGTTTAAAAATTAGCAAACCCTCACAATTTTTAATTAATGGCACAATCCCCTTGATTTACTAAGGGACGGCTAAGATCAATAGTGGCTAAGGTATTTATTTATTTTGATATACACAAAAATCCTATCAGACTTTCTGCCATCTTAGTGCATGAATTCAGTTGGCAATCCACAAATACTGAATAAACCTTCCTGCTTCAAAACCCTCACTCCCCTACTGAGGGTCAGTTTTATGCTTATAACCATTCCTTCACCAGTACTGTGTGAAAATTTATTTTTCATGCCCTGGACAAATTAGCGATGAATCACTTAGATGTGGAGCCAAAATCTACAACGTTCCCTGGAGCAAAATCTTTTGTGGTGAACAGAGCCTTACACATTTATTTGCAAAATAAATTCTGGTTGCCAAATAGGAATTAAAGGTAACTATAGTATAAATCTGAATGAATATTAACCTCATTTCACTTATAACTAACTGTAGGCTCTCTTCTTAAAAGCAATTTACAAGTTCTTTTATTCATAAACAAATTAATCTATTGTTAACAGTTTACTGGGATAAACCTTTAAGATATTACTTAATGCTGACAAAAAATAATGTAACTATCCTAATTTCTTTCATGATTCAAAATAATGCACCTACCTCTTTGCTGTCCTATAAAAAGAAGAAAACATTTTTTTAATTGTGAGCATTAAAAAGAAAAAGTACAGGAAACATTTCCTACAAATCTTTTTTTTTAAAATGGTCTCACCATGCTTAATAAAATTTCAGACTTAGAATATTTTATACTTTGAAGGTTATCGTGAAATCTAATCATGTTTTAATTACAAAATGTTAAAGAATTTACAAATATTTGTTTTATTAGAACTAATAATATTCTCTACTACAGGAAATACATTTTCAATGGTCGTAGAAGTATATACAAATGTTAATACAACTTTTTTTTATTTCTAAATGAAACTAATACTATATAAACCCAATCCTTTCATCTAAAATTTATACTGCACAATTTCATGTAGTAGTTTGACATTTTCATGTTTACAGATGGAATCTCGGTCAGTAATTATACAGAAATATTCTAACATTAAGTAATACAAACTAGCTATTCATAACTGGATATTGTTTAAATCCACTGTGCAAGTCTTAACAGACATAGCAAAATAATTTAAACATACATTAATGTTTATTTTAAAAAAGTACTTACCTCATTTTTCCTGGATTGCATGGATTCATTTTCTCTACAAGACTGAGGAGAGTCACTTAGCAACCTGTCGGAAAAAAACCAACTCTTATTCAAGTTTTCAACAACTCTAGCAACCATGCCAATCAACTCATTTTAATCAATTCTCTCAAGTCTTAATCTCTGCTAGGCTATTCTCTGAATGAAGCCATTTTTATTCAGTATGAGTTTTCATTTGAATGTTCTCTTGGCCAAAGTGAATGTTCCAACTTTTTCAGTTCAATACAAGTTTCTAATGTTTAAATGAATACTTACAATAGTTCTGTAATTATTTAGATACAATACACATGACTAATAATGCAAATTCAACATAAATAATAATGAAAAGAAACAGCCCTAACACAATGTATGCCCTAGTTGTACACTTTTTTCTGAAATTAGCTAATCCAAAAATCCAGTGTATATGCTAGAGCACAACAGCAATTTTATAAGTTACTACATAAAAATTAGAAACATCCAAAAATTGGCATATTTTGATAAATCCAACTTAAATTCCACATTTCAAATATTCAACAAGGGACAGAACTACATCAAGTGTAAAATTAGATGTGTGTTTAAAGCAAAAGGAGAGGAATGTAATAAAATAATTTTCAACTATATTTGACAAGATGCACATTAAAATACATCACATACAGATTCTCTCGATAGTAGGTAAATCCTATAAAAGGCAGCTGGTTTCCCACAAAGGCTTTGGGGATTGGAAAGGTTTCCACATCTCCTTTGTCATCCTCAACGTCATCAAAATTACTGCTGTCTATGTCACTGCTAAGCTCAGGTACAACAGGAGCAGCAGCTACAAAGGAAAAAATGGTCAGCTTCATGGTAAGATTCAACATCCTGTTATGGATATATCAACACACTATATAATGAAAGGTAAATATGGCATACACTAATTTCATCAATTAATTTATATTATTTATCACATAGGAGATCCATTAATATCTCTAGATTAATAAAATAATTTTCTTTCTACACCCACATCTGACAAAGTAAATGTTTTGAAATGATCTGTTACCATGCAATACAAAGAAAATAATAAAAATTTCAGTTTGCTGAGGCAGGCAGTTTTTACTGCACAAAACATACATTTTCTAAATCATCCAGATTTAGGTCAGATATTTAATCCCAATTTTAGCTTAACTATATTAAGAAGCTTCAATAAATGCGTCTGATTACAGAAGTTTTGACCAAATGGTAAACTAAAACAGCTATATTTTTGCCAGGGGCAATCAAGTTCTATGAACTTAAACTATTCTAAGTGGTAGGTTAGACTGTACTCATACAAACTTATACAACTTCAGGAGGTAAGTAAGTTGGGAAAGTACAACTGACTATGTAGTCATTTGTTAAAATAATAAAAGATCATCAAACTCTGTTGTTCAAACAAATGCTCTCTCTATATATTTACAGGATGGCAAAAAGAGAAAAAGGGGTATTTATGAACCCATATTGACATATCTTTTACGATAAACAAGAACAACAGTAAGAAAAACAGCTTGAGTCACAAGACCCCTTGAGACACAAAAAATTACTTCACATAACAGTTTTGTACAGTAAGTAATATTTTAAGTGTTTTACATTTTTCATTCCACAGTGTTAACCAATAGAAGCTGTTTATGCAAATATTGAACATGTTAAAAATATAAACTACAGTTCACTTACTCTCTCGAATGTTATCCCAGTTCCATTGATCGCTCTTAAAGAAAGGGTGCTGTTTAATTTCTTCTACCCCATTTCTCCCAAGTCGCACCTCCCTAAACATAGCAATTAACCCAATTTCACATTAGAAAAATCAGTACTCCATTTTTGTTAAGTAACTTGTGACTTGCACTTAAGTGCACAGAGACTAAACAAAATTAAGGTTCAAAGAGATATGGGCAGTCAATGTAATTCAGGCTAACTTTGATTAAAATCAACTCATCTGTCGTTTCTCATATTAAAAATGCTCCCAGTTTCTTAGCAGGCACTCTCTCTGCACGTACTAAAATGGCTAGAATTCTGAATCTGCCACGTGTGGAGTAAAACATTTTTCCATCTAGATTTTGTGTAGAAAGGGAGCACACAGGCACAAGTTTTAAATAAAAAAAATTAACTGCAAACTTAGAAAGTCTGCCAAACCACATGACAAACCTTAGGACGCAAATGAAGGGAAGTCTGGCTTAGTACACAGAACGGTTATTCAAAATCCCAGTGAAATAAATATTTCAAAACTTCTATCCTCCTCCCCTAAAAAATAACCCTTACATGCCTTTTGCTTACTTTTATAACGAAGTCACCATGTGGCAAGTTTTAGAAGGGACAACAAACTTATTCTTTATATAAGACTATCTTTTAAGATAGCTCCCAGAACATAAAAACAACTTATGGACTCGAACAAATAGGTCACATGATAGATGTTCATTCCTTCTTGTTACTTTAAGTGCTTCAGTAGTGATGTATACAGAAAGAGGGCATCTGGTTTAAATAAATCCCCCAAGCACACATTTAATATAAACAGGAAGATGTATACACATGGGGGAAGTACTCCTGGACACTTTTATATTACTAAACTCTTCTAATATATCTCCTCTCCACCTTTCAGTCATCCTAGGTCTTGAACAAGACAAATCCCTACTAAAGCAGCTCTTTCATGAATGGTATTTCTTTAGTTGCATGCAGTCTTGCTCAACAGACCACACAGTCCCTCTTTGAAATACAGAACTAGTACATACCACCAGATACATATTTCTTTATTTACGTTTTTTTTAGGTTTTTTTTTTTTTTTTTTTAAATCAATCATTCTACACAGTCAGTTACTGGACTAGATTCTCCACTGTGGCCAAGCTCTGTTCAGCACTAGGGAGTATGAGGGCACCAGGGAATTAGTTATCCTTCCGATTCTGTACTGTGTAGCTCTTGTGCCCGTTACAGCATCTCCTAGACTGTCCTAGTGCATGGTATTGGAGGATGAGCATAACAAAGCATAGGTGAGAGGGAGGTGGAGGTGGCTGGGGGGCAAGAACAAGCTACATCAGCTTAATACCAATGAGGAGTTCTACTACACAAGAGGCGATCTCATCTAGCAGTTTACATCCAGAATCATTCCCCTTTCTGGGGAATTAGCTATGCTTGTAAATTCTTACCTCAAAAATGGGTTTAAATAAGCATATGAATCTCTTCTAAGAAAACTGGAATAACTCTCTGCATAAAATTCTCTATTTGTGATAATGTATTTGTTTTCATTATTATTTACTGAGCGTTGATGACATGCTCAGCGCTTAATGAATGCAAGACAAGTTGGTCCCTGCCTCAAGGAACTCACAATGTATTTCAAACATTGTTATTGTATTTTGGATCTTGTTTGCATGGCACTAGGAAATATTTTCTTTGCAGCAATTTTGAATTCTTAGGAAGAGTGTAGACAATGCAGTTATTGCCAGAAGTACTCATAAAAATACTAGTTTTAGTTAAACATAACACAGAGCTTGCAAAACAGCCAGCCACTAGAAAGCAGGAGATAATGTTAATTTCTCACAAAATGAGAATGATTTAGATAGCACAATTAAGGGGAAGGAATCCATTGTTCTAGGATACCGTAAGTGTGTTTGCACCCACTATAAGAGAGATTGTACAAATGTAGTAGACACACCTACCTGTCAGTTAAAAAGTCACAGATGAGGTTCTTTGCATGCTTAGAGATTTCCACATCATCTGGGAAACTTAATGAATTCTTGTGATCCATGATTTTACTATACGTTCCTACCAAGGAGTCTGCATAAAATGGAGTGTCTCCTAAAATAAAACATGCATAAATGTTAAGATTTTAAATTTAAAATTTAAGTATTTTAAGATAAACAGAGAAAGAAGAAAGCAGACCTATAAATTATAAAGTTCAGGCTTATTCTGAAAAATGGCTCTATAAAAATGGGATTGGTTGATCCATGTTCACTGTATCTTATTTTTTTTTAAACCACATGTACTCTGTTTAGGGTGAAAAAAGTTTTCGTTGTAAATACCTGCACTACAAACTAAGCCTATGCCCAGGGGAATCAAGCTAGGATATTTCCACCATCATTACTGAAGTTTCCACACACGAAAACAGATCTATCATACTCATACAGTGTCTTTCAATTATGCCCTCAGTGACACCTTTGTAAATCCACTAATTTCAAGGGGCTTGGATAGGAGTAATTGATTGGAACCATTAAACACTTTGGTTGATGCATGTTATGGAATAGAATTCACAATTAACTCTTAGTGGGATCAGTTCTGCACTTCTAAGAACAGACAGCAATCAAAATGTATTTATCACCAAAATGATCAGCTAACACACGGAATATGCAAAAAGAACAGATCCACTGACCAACAAGCGGCCATTTTTACATAATTCTGTTTCAGAGTTGAAACACACTTTCATGAAAAAGAAACCTGAAGAATATGTTTAGTGACCAAGTTACCTATTTTGTCCATCAGGAGAAAAACATTCAGCAGGAGAAAAAAAAGCATTCTGGTTATCAGCAATTAGAACATTTTCACCATGTGGAAAGTTTATCAGTCTCTACAAACTAATACACAGAAGCCATTTTGCTCTTGAGGAGGATATAAAAGAGAAGAACCAACACAAGTAGGCTTCAAGAAAGAGAACAAGTTAGCATGTACATTAGTGTCAATTAAACTCTCAGACTCTGCTGTGACCTCCCAACCAGTCCTAGTTTGGTTCCTACAGAAATCATCTATCAGATGCACAGATTCCATGGTCTACCAATGCTCCCTCCGTCTTCACCCTAAAAGGGTCGCTCTCCACTTTTCTCTTCAGCACCATCATAAAAGGCTCCTATCAAGGCCATTCATCACCACCCTAGTATCCCCTCAACTAAGGCAATCCCTCTCTTGGCAGCCCAGTTCTCTGCTTTCCAACTAGTACTTCAGCTTTGCATCTAATGTACAATAAAATGTAGTACAATTTCATTTGGTGTAGCACAGGGGTCGGCAACCTTTCAGAAATGGTGTGCCGAGTCTGCATTTATTCACTCTAATTTAAGGTTTCGCGTGCCAGTAATACATTTTAACGTTTTTTAGAAGGTCTCTTTCTATAAGTCTATAATATATAACTAAACTATTGTTGTATGTAAAGTAAATAAGATTTTTAAAATGTTTAAGAAGCTTCATTTAAAATTAAATTAAAATGCAGAGCCCCCCAGACCAGGACCCGGGCAGTGTGAGTGCCACTGAAAATCAGTTGCGTGCCGCCTTCGGCGCGCGTGCCATCGGTTGCCTACCCCTGGTGTAGCACCTTTCATATAAACTGTATCCCAAAATGCTCTACAGCCTTATTTTAAATATATATTAAAATTGATGAACTCAGAAGCAGAACTATTAAGAAGTGAAGCCAAGAGAGAAAACAGATATTTTCAGCTGAAATTTGAAATAAGGAAATCAACAAGGCCAGGAGATTCAACAGCTGTTCCTGACTGCAAGAGCTGCAAAGGATTGTGTTAAAAAAAAAAAAAAAAAGTGTCCAGAGTTATATTAGCAGAAGGAATGGAAGGCAATAGAAAGAAGGATTGTTTAACAAACTGAAGCAAGTCTGCTGCAGTGATCCCTCTAATTTTTCTCACCCATGTGCAGAATGAATTTTGTTATGTGCACCAATATGGAGGTGATGTGTGACACGTCATCTTCATATTGGTGCACATAACAAAATTCATGTGGTGGGGGTGGGGCCGAGGGGTTCGGCGTGTGGGAGGGGGCTCAGGGCTGGGGCAGAGGGTTGAGGTGTGGGCTCTGGGTTGGGGCTGGGGATGAGGGGCTTGGGGTGCAAGAGAGTGCTCCGGGGCTATGGCGGGGAGAGAGGACTCAACCCCAGTTCTCTATCCCCACAGCATCTGCGGGGGTGGGGGCGCGGCAGGTTGGGGGCCGGGCTAGGTTGGGGGAGGGGCAGCTCTTCCCTGGCTGCGGCAGGTCCGGGGCTGGGTTGGGACTGGGGGAGGGACACCCCTCCTCTGGCTGTGGCAGGTCCCGGCTGGGCGGGTTCCCGGAGTGCCTGCGCGGCACTAAATAGGCTGCTGTGCGGCCGCACAGCTTACAGAGAATTTAGGTCTACTGAGGTATTTAAAACGGAAAAGGTAATTTTGAACTGGATCCTAAAATTAATGAGGTAGCATTGGAGTGGTTTTAAGATGGGGATGATATAGCTGAACTTTGTGTGTGTGAGAAGACAAGCAGCTTGTCTGCATATCCTTGATGGGACTTGGTGATGAAAAGAAGCAATCTGCAATAGTCCAAGTAAGAAGAGAGGAAAGCATGGATGCGGACTTCAGTGAAGTTGGACTTTAGGCATTATTGTACATGGGCAATGTTGCTGAAATGTTGAGAAGAATATTCACAAATAACATAGATGCAGGAGGAGTAAATCAGAGATAAGCAAGACGTCAATTATATGTATTGTCTGGTTCAAGTCAAAGAGGCAGATTGATGATCCTCTTATTTAAGAGAAAACACTTATATGTGTAAACATTTAGTTGAATGAAGTTGAGCCACAGCTCAGTATAAGGAGAGAGCGTGCACAAGCAGGAGTCATTTAAAGGTATCAAAAGGTAGACATAGTTGAGTATCATGACTGTAAAGTAGTTAAAGGCTGAAATAAGATGTCTGAGGAGAAAGTAAATGGAAAAAGCAAATTGATAACCAAACTATTGTGAGATACAAAGGAGCAGGAGAGATGGAGCAGTCATCAGCACCCAAAAAAGACTGGTTGTACAAATAACAGTGGATCCAGGACAGGAGGGGAAAAGGGAGGCTCATGTAACTACCATATGAAGGTAATGCTGGGAGACAAAATGATCCACACTGTCAAAGCCTTAACTAAGGTCATGAAGAATGAACAGAGAAAAGGAAATATCAGCAGTAAGGCCGGAGGAACTATAACCAGGTTAAAACCTAAACAGTTATCTCATTCCCAGGAGAGGAGATGGGAGAATGGGAAAAATCTAAGGGGAAAAAGGAGTTCAGAAGAGCTGGCAGTTTATCAAGGAGACAATATTAAAGGAACAACTGCAAACTATCCTGATATGAAGGAAAGATATTAAGAAGCCAATACAGCTGCATCAGGAGCTCTTCAATTACTTGAAAACCAAAAAGGAATCCTACAAGAAATAGAAACATGGACACATTGCCAAGGATGAGTACAAAAGAATAGCACAAGCATGTAGGGACAAAATACAGAAAGGCTAAGGCACAAAATGAGTTACACCTCACAAGGGACATATAAGGCAATAAAAGAGAAAGATGAAAGAAAGTGAAGGTCTACTACGTAGCAGGGAAGAAGAGATAATAATGGACACCACCAAGAAGGCTAAGACGTTTAATGCCTATTTTGTTTCAGTCTTCTCTAAGAAAGAGAATTGTATCCAGACGCTTAATACAATTAATATTAACAAGGGGGGGAGGGGCACAAACCATAGGGAAATGAAAAGTTAAAGAATATTTAGATAAGTCAGATATATTCAAGTGGGCACTATATTCACACTAAGATGCTTAAGCCTTAAAGTAATAGCTGAAGCAATCCCGGAACCATTAGTGATTGTCTTAGAGCGTTCATAGGGTATGTCTACACTGCAATTAGACACTTGCAGCTGGCCCTCATCAGTTGACTCGGGCTCCCGGGACTTGGACTGTGGGGCTGTTTAATTGTGGTATAGACGTTCTGGCTTGAGCTGCAGCCTGAGCTCTGGGACCCTCCAACCTCGCAAGGCCCTAGACTCTGGGTTCCAGCCCAAACCCAGATGTCTACACCGAAATTAAACAGTCCCGCAAGCCAGAGTCAGCTGGCACGGGCCAGCTGCAGGTTTTCAATTGCAGTGGAGACATAACCATAGAGGAAGGGTGAGGTCCCAGAGGACTGGAGAAGGGCAAACATAGTACCTATCTTCAAAAAGGAGAACAAAGAGGACCCAGGTAATAATAGACCAGTCAGACTAACTATGATACCTGGAAAGATACTGGAGCAAATTATTAAACAATTTATAAGCACCTAGAGGATAATAAAGTGATAAGTATTAGCCAACATGGATTTGTCAAGAACAAATCATACCAACCCAACCTAGTTTCCTTCTTTGATAGGGCTAGTGGACGGAGGGGATTTTAGTAAAGCTTTTGACACCATCCCAAATTACAGTCTTATAAGCAAACTAGGGAAATGTGGTCTAGATCAAATTGTTGAAAGGTGGGTGCACAACTGGTTGAAAGACCAAGATATCAGTGGTTTCCTGTCACACTGGGAGGACTTATCTAGTGGGGTCCTACCAGGTGTTTCCTGGTCTAGTACTATTCAATAGTTTCATTAATGAATTGGAGAAAGGAGTGAAGAGGATGCTTATAAAATCTGCAGAAGACACCATGCTAGGAGGGGTTGCAAGCACTTTTGAATTCTAATCCTATCCTCCAAACAATCTGGATAAATTGGATAATTGGTCTGAAACCAACAAGATGAAATTCAATAAAGACAATTCAAAGTACTACACTTAGAAAGGAATAATCAAATGCACAAATACAAAATGGGAAATAATTGGCTAGGCAGTTGTACTGCAGAAAAAGATCTCAGGGTTATAGTGGATCACAAATTGAACACAAGTCAACAATGTGATGCAGCTGTAAAAAGAAGGCTAATGTCATTCTGGGATGCATTAACAGGAGTGTCATACGGAAGACACGGGAGGTAACTGTCCTGCTCTACTCAGCACAGATGAAGCCTCAGACGGACTACTGTGTCCAGTTTTCGGTGCCACACAAAGAAGGATTTGGATAAATTCGAGAGTGTCCAGAGGAAAGCAGCAAAAATGATAAAAGGTTTATAAAACCTGACTTATGAGGAAAGGGTAAAAAAAACTGGCATGTTTTCTTCTTCAGAAAATAAGACTGAGGAATCTGATAACAGTCTTCAAATACGTTATGGGCTGTTATATAAAGGATGGTGATCAACTGTTCTCCATGTCCACTGAAGGTAGGACAAGAAGTAATCAGATTAATCTGCAGCAAGGGAGATTTAGGTTAGATATTAGGAAAAACTCTCTCACTATCAGGGTGGTTAAGTACTAGAATAGGTTACCAAGGGATGTTGTTGAAACTCAGTCATTAGAGGATTTTAATGACAGGTTAGACAAATGCCTGTCATGGATGGTCCAGGTAAACTTGGTCCTGACTCTGTGCAGGGAGAATTTCGAGGTCCCTTTCAACCCTATACTTCTATGGTTCCAAGAGACACACTGAGACAAACAGGAAAGAAGCAAAGAAGAGAAAAGCATACAGAAGAGAAGGAAATGAGGTTGAGGAATAAGAGGGGGAAAAAATTAATAGAGATGGAGAAACGTGGTAATTAGAAGCATCACAGACAAGATGGGCCATAGGAGAGGAAAATATATACAAACCATGAAGTATCATTAATTCTCCCAAATGAAACCCCAGATTATAGAAAAAACTGAGCTAGTGAGCCCCTCAACGATAAAAACTCAGACTCTCAAAATACTGGTGTTCCCCACATTTCATTTGATAATGTACTGGAGGAGAGAAAAGAGGTCCCAACCACAAAATAGAAATGAAAATGACGTTCTGTCATGGCACTACAGGACAGACTTAACACCTTAACTATTAAAGTACATTGATTAAATTGTTCCCGGGATGCAACTTACTAATTAGCCTTCATAAGTCAAATTCACTTCATCCTCAGAGGAACTAACGTTTCAATGACTGCAGACTTGGGAGGAGCTTTCCTGCCCCCAGAACCTTAGAAACATATCTGTTCCTGCAGTGTTCCCAGAACATGCTGGTATGGATAGTGAGTAATCATGCTCAGTTCCAGACTCCTCACCAGTGCTCTGATATTAGACTACAAGGTTGGTTTACAACCTTGGATGGCTAGGATCCTCTATAATGGCTCTAATATTCAAATACATTACATGCCCTAATGGTCCAGTGCTTTACAATGGGAAATCCTGATTGGAGAGTACAAGAATTAGCCAAAAGCAGAAGCAATCACAGGCTGAACTGTCTTGATGCACCCATATGTCTTACTTGTTGCTATATAAGGATAACTGAATCATAAAAGCTCTTGAATAGAAGTTTCCAGAAGAGAGAGAGTGAGAGTGTGTGTGTGTGTGTGTGTGTGTGTGTGTGTGTGTGTGTGTGTGTGAATTAATGAATTAAATTATTACTCACCAACAAGCATCTCAAAGAGAAAAACTCCTACAGACCACCAATCGCACTCCCGTCCATAGCAGCCATCACCTCCTTGTGACTTCAAGACTTCAGGCGATATGTAGTCAGGTGTTCCAACAGCTGTATCACAGCGCACCATACCAGTCTACGTAATTGCAAAAAATTGCAAGTAATAATCCATTTAATTGAAACAATACAATAAACAAAAACAACAAGGAGTCTGGTGGCACCTTAAAGACTAACAGATAGTGCTTCGCCAAAATTAAAATTAACCCATTTATGTTATTTTGAGAAAAACATGTCCCAAAGTAAGTAGTTTGGGAAACATTTAAGGCCTTCAAAAGTTCCTATTCCAGAAGTGCTTTCTGACAAAATGACTATTCCTGGTAACTCCTATTATTTCTTTTTTAAAGTATATCTTTCAAGATTGAAAAAAAAAATTAAAAAGGAAATGTGACTTAGCCTAGGTTCCACCAGTATTAACAAAGCTGAGCATGCATACTATGGGATCAGGCCCACTGAAGTCGATGACTCAAATGACTTCAATGGGCTTTAGATTAGGCCCTAAAAGAGCAGACCAATACAGACAACTTTTTTTTTTGGTTAGGCACTAAGTCCAGTCGGGGGCTGAGTTTTCTGGTCTTGTTTTGTTTTTATTTTAATGCTTGAGACCAATATAAATTAAAGGAAAAGCTATTTTGGAAGAATGGGACGGTTAAGCTCTACAAGAAAATACAATTTTTAAAGCCAAGCACAGGTTTTATCCCTAAAAACACTTGCTAGTACCTCATTAATTTAGCAACATAAAGGCCCTGACTATCCATACTCCTTGCTCCTAGCTGAACAATCAATAAAAGTAGAGTCAATGTCAGGTCTGCTGGCACACTGGTTCAAAGTGATATGAGTTCAACTTCCCTAAATTCAAGCTTCAACTAGGTTTATTCCAGTAAGTCCAGATTTGCTGAGGCCTGCCAAGCTCCCCGCCCACCTCCCGTCCCCCGGAGTTATTTTCTTCTTCGAGTGCTTGTTCATGTCGAATCCAGTCAGGTGACTTCCAAGCTCTACCCCGGAGGTGGAGTCGGCGTTAAGGAATTGGATAATGCTGACTGGAGTACCGCTCTGCCGAAAGCTGCATCATCTCTAGCGTGCTGTGTGATGGCATAGTGAGAGGTGAACGTATGCACTGAGGACCAAGTAGCTGCCCTACAGATTTCCTGTATCGGGACCTGGGCCAGGAACGCAGCTGACGACGCCTGTGCCCTTGTGGAATGAGCCTCCACTTCAGATGTCTATACCACTCATCCTGGAGTACCTTCTGCACTTCAACCAACAAAGCCTGGCAGCGTCATCCAGCAAGGTACACCTTGCTGCTATCTCAGCCTTCCGTCCGGGTACGTCTGGATGCTCCATATTCGCTAACCCTATGGTAGAACGTTTCCTTAAGGGACTGGAACGGATATATCCTCGGGTTAGACAGTCTCTTCCAGCACGGGACATTAACTTGATCCTCTCCAGATTAATGGGATCCCCAATTCGAACCGCTGGTGACTTGCTCCCTTCTCTACTTGTCATGGAAAGTAGCCTTCCTGGTCACCATCACATCAGCCAGGAGAGTATCAGCGTTAAAGGCCCTTACCTCCGATCCATCCTAAACGGTCTTCCACAAGGACAAGGTGCAACTCAGACCTCACACGGCCTTTCTCCCTAAGATAGTGTCACAATTCCATAGTAGTCAAGACATTTTTCTACCTGTCTTCTATCCCAAGCCCCACAACAGTACCCAAGAGCAAAGGCTGCAGACAAAACCAGGAGCCCTTTAAAAAATAAACGTAGCATAAAAAATGGTTACTGACCTTCCATAACTGTTGCTCTTCAAGATGTGTTGCTTACATCCATTCCACATGAGGTGTGTGCACGTCGCGTGCACCATTGCTGGAGATTTTTCCCTCAGTGGTATCCATCGGGTCAGCTCCAGTGCCTTTTGGTGCCCCACGCTTATGAGCCAGTATAAGGGGCGCCGCCAACTCCGCACCTTCTCGGTTTCTTCTTGCCAGTTAACTCTGACAGAAGGGTAGGAGGATGGATGATGGAATGAATATGAGCAATACATCTCAAAGAACAATAGTTACGGAAGGTCAGTAACAGTTTTCTCTTCTTTGAGTGCCGGTTCACGTCCGTTCCACGTTTGGTGACTCACGAGCAGTACCCAAGGCAGTGGGCTCGGAGTTCATGCAGAAGAGGACTGCAACTCTGCTCTCCTGAACCTCACGTCCTCACGAGACTGTTGGGTGATGGCGTTGTGGGATGAGAAGGTATGCATTGATGACCAGGTTGCAGCCCTGCAGATGGATTGGATTGCTTTCAGCAATCGCAAATACAGGAGGTTATCCAGGATGATATTCTCTGGGCTGAAACTGATAGGCCTTTCATCCTCTCTGTGATTGCCACAAAAGAATTGTGTGAATCTGTGGAACAGTTTAGTCCTCTCAAGGTAGAAGGCGAGGAGATGCCTAACATCCAATGAGTGAAGCCACTGATCTTCTGAATTCTTATGAGGCTTCGCCAAGAAGACTGGCAGTAAAATGGCCTGGTTGCGATGGAACAGCAAAATTTTGGCAGGAAGGCTGAATGGGGGTGCAGCTGGACCTTGTTCTGGAAGAACAAGGTGTACGGTGGTTTTAATGTCAGGGCCCTGATTTCAAGAGACCCATCTGGCTGAGGTAAACACTACCAGGAAGGTGACCTTCCTGGAGAGAAGCAACAGAAAGCACAATGCTAGTGGCTCAAAGGGAGGGCCCGTGAGTTTTGATAGGATCAGGTTTAAATCCCATGGGGGGGATCAATTTGCAATCCTGAGGGTAAAGTCTCTCCAATTCCTTAAGAAAGGATGGTCATCTCGTGAGAAAAAAATGACTTACCGCCCACTGGCGGGTGGAAAGTCGAAATTGCTGCTTGATGCACCTTGACAGATGTGAAGGCTAGACCTTGTTGTTTTAGATGGAGAAAGTAATCCAGAACACACTGAAGGGAAGACCGAGTCGGAGAGAGGCCCCATTTGGGACAACCATATTGAGAAATGCTTCCATTTAGTGAGGTAGGTATCCCTAGTGGGCGACTTCCTACTACGCAGAAGGACCTGTCGAACTTGTTCCGAACAGGCTTGTTCCATCAGGTTCAGCCATATAACTTCCATGCAGTCAGGTGAAGGGACCCAAGGTTCAGGTGGAGTACATGGCTGATCTTGTGAGATCAGGTCCAGACAGAGTGGGAGCAGTAGCGGGGGTACTAATCTATGAGCTGAGGGGTGAAAACATTATCTGATAAGTCTAGCAGTGTGCCAAATCAGTGTTCGTGCGGCCATGCCAGGGCTATAAGAATAACTCTCACCATGTCTCGCTTGATTTTCAGAAGCACTTTGTGAATCAGAGGAACTGGTAGAAATGCGTAGAATAAGAGCTCTGTCCATGGAAGCAGGAAGGCATGGGAGCCCAGACTGTGCCCAATGCAGTGAGCAAAACTGATGGCATTTCCAGTTCAGCTTGGCTGCAAACTGGTCAACCTAGAGAGATTCCCCACCTTTGAAAGATGAACCTGATGACCTCTGGGTGAAGGGACCACTCATGGTGAGAGGAGAAATATCTGCTGAGGTAGTCTGCAGGGCATTCTGGGCTTCCAGAAGATGAGAAGCCTTGAGGTGGATGGAGTCCTTCATGCAGAAGTCCCATAGACAGATGGCCTCCTGACACAAGGCGGAGGAGCATGCTCCTTCCTGCTTACTGATGGAGAACATGGCTATGGTGCCGTCAGTACCTGCACTACCTTGCCTGCGATCTGGGGAAGGAACACTTGGCAAGCCAAGCAGACGGCTCCGAGCTTCCAGACATTTATGTGCAAGGAGAGTTCTTACTGGGACCACAAGCCCTGAGTTAATCAAGGTGGGCTCCCCAACCTAGGTCTGAAGCGTCCGAAACTAGAGACACTGATGGCTGGAGGGTGACAAAAGGAACGTCCGCCATTACCATCCAGGGGTCCTTCCACCAGTCAAGGGAGGCAAGGACTGGGGCTCGACAGCAAACACAGAGTCCAAGTAGTGACTGTTCAGAGAGTACATTGAAGCTAACCACGTCTGCAGAGGCCTGAGGCACAGCCTTGCGTGCCATAGCATGTAAGTGTACACGGCCATGTGTCCTAGTAGCTTGAGGAAAACCCAGGCTATTGTGATCAGTTAAGCCATGACCTTGGATGTCAGGTCCGACAAAGTCTGGAATCACGCCCTTGGAAGGAAGGCTCTGGCCTGAGTTGAGTCGAGCACTGCCACGATAAACTCTATTCTCTGTACTGGAATGAGTCGACTTCTGTTTGTTTACCAACAGGCCCAGAGCTTGGAAGGTGGCTTGGACCAGGCTGATGCTTTTCTTTACTTCAGCCTCTGAATGACCCTTGATCAGCCAGTTGTTGAGATATGGGTAGACTTGAACGCCTCGCCTTCTGAAAAAGGCAGCTACCACCGCCATGTCTTTCGTAAAAACTCAGGAGGCTGAGGACTGGCCAAAAGGGAAAATGGTGAATTGGTAAGGAGTCTGGTTTATAATAAATCTGACAAATCTTCTGTGGCCATGGAAGATAGAAATGTGAAAATAAGCGTCCTTCAAGTTGAGGGCCCCTGGATCCAGGGAGGGAATGATTGAGGCCAGGGAGACCATGCGGAACCTTAGTTTCTTGAGATAATTGTTGAGGCGATGCAGGTCCAGGATGGGGAAAAAGCCCCGGGGCCTTTGGGATTAGGAAATATCGTGAGTAATACTTTTTCCCTCTCAATTTTCGAGGTACCTTTTTCCACAGCTCCCACCGGTAAGAGGATCTGCAGCTCCTGGAGTAGGAGTTGCTTGTGAGAAGGGTCACTGAAGAGGGACAGGGATGAGGGGTGGGAGAGAGGAATGGATGAAAACTGCAGGGTATAACCATACACCACTGTACTTAGCACCCAGTGGCCTGATGTGATGTGGGACCATGCCGAACTGAAGTGGGAGTCAGTCCAAAAACACAGGAGGAGCAAGGATCCGAGGCGGAAACTGGTATAGCGCCCTCGGGCACACCTTTTAAAAGCCTGCTTGGGTCCACCAGAGTAGCTATGCGATCCCGGCAGTGAGGTTGAGGTGGATGGGAGCAATTGATGGCGCTTGTAACCTCTGCTCTTTCTTTTGTACAGGTCCTGTCTCAGTGGTGGAGCCGAGAAGTGGGCTGGCTGTTGAAGCCATACCTCTCCAAAGTGGGAGGGAGAAAAGATGGGGTCTGCCACAGGGCTCTGACCAGACCCATTACCGCCTTGTTAATGGGTAGGGCCGCCTTAAATGGTGCTGCTGCATCTAGAAAGTCAATGAGGCTGAGAGAGAATTCCTAGAGCTCCTCAATCTCTAGCCCCAGGTTAGCTGCTACCCGCTTCAGAAACTCCTGATGGGCTCTAAAGTCACCTTGCGGCAGTGAGCCACTCAGTCCCGAGATGTCCTCATCTGGGGAGGAGGAGGAAGAAGCAGCCTCTACTGGAAGGTCAGGGCTGTTTTCTCGTCTTCAGTTTTAATTACCTCCATGTGGCCCACGTCTTGTGCATCAGTACTGGGAGTCGGTGTCCAGTGCCGAGCGGAGTGAAGCGGGATCCCGCCCCTCAGAAGCAACCGAGTATGACAGATGAGAAGACGGACATGGTACGGAGGGAAACCCCCATGGATTTCTGAATGGCTATTGCATAGGCCATTGTCCACCTGGCCAGGTATTGGTGGGGAGACCTGCACTGAGGTCCAGCAGCACATAAGGCAGGTACCAGTGGTGGCTCTTGTGCTGGGTGTAAGGCTCCACCTAAGACTCAGACAATGAGTCCTCCCGAGGTGACCAAGGGGAGTGGTACTCCTCACTTCCGCCATCTGATGCCGAAGGTCCGGAGACCAGTGGCTGAAGCAAGAGGAGTTATTCCAGTAACCATCAGGGGCGGTAAGAAGGAACTGAGTGGGTGTGGGGCCAGTGGCGCCCCGTATACCACCACACAGAGGGTGCTACAGTCGGATATCACTGAGGGAAAAATCTCCAGCAATAGTCCATGCTGTGCGCACGCACCTAACATGGTATGGGTATGAGCAAGCACTTGAAGAAAAACAAGTTAAGGGTTCATATTAAGCAGATCAAATACTATTTTTTACCTTATTTCAATTAAAAGTAAAATGAGGCCCATTATCACATTAAGTTTAGTCTCAGACGACTAAACAAATTTGGCTTACTGCAAGCAAAGTGTCAGTCAGGGTTCTGAATATCTATACAGGGAAAGGATTAGAGAATCTGTTCAGAGAATGGGAACCTGGAAAGCCTTATAGAATTTGTACAATGAAAGATGCAAAGCCCGAAGACATAAGCCACCTAATATGTAGCCTAATAATATCAGTACAGATAGGGTGGTCCAATCGGACATTTACTGCTACAAGGTTCCATTATATTTATTTATTTATTTGGATTTAACATTTAAAAGAACACTTATTCAAAAGCACCCTGAAAATAATTAGACTTACAGTAACAACCTGGCAACATATATAACTAATATAAAAATAAATTAACTCTGCCAGTCAGCAGCCTTACATAATCAAAGTAAGTGTACGTAAGCCATGGCGGTCCCAGGATATTAGAGAGACAAGGTGGGTGAGGTAATATCTTTTAGTGGACCAACTGCTGAAGTTGGTCCATTAAAAGATATTATCTCCACCATCTTGTCTCCCAAATAATCAAATTAAGATAAACAATCCATCTACCTGTGGAATAGAATCACTGTGGCATTAACAAAATGAAGTAACTAAATGATACTAGAAATGAAGACTATTACATTTCTCAATAAGCTTATAAAATACCATATGAGGAAAAAAGACACCAGTATTTCAGAGTACATTTGCAGTTACTATAAAAGGGTATTACTCAAAAATATATTACAAAAAAAAAAATACTGGAGAAAAGAAGTTAAATAGGTTGCAAAGGAAGAAGAACCTATTTTGTACAAGTAATATATGCAAATTCTAGCACAACATAGCAGAAGAAAGCAGTAAAGTAGTATCCTTCAGGCCAAAATAAACTCCTGTTAAGTCAAAGCTGATAAAACAAAGGAACACCAATATTAAAATATTAGAGAAACATTTTAAAATGAAGGGTAATGAACATAACACTTGTGCATTCACACAAAGTTCATGACAACTTACGGTACCTTTGTAGAGTAAAACACAAGGGGGGGGGGAATATGTGTAATTACAGAGTAATTTCACTGTTTACTTTTTACTCTTCACTTAACAAGAACAAAGTGTAAACTGAAAAATACAGAAGATTTTAAAAGTCTGCTTTAAAATGTTATTAGTAGTCCAAATAAGGCTTTTTTTATAGCCATATGAGTTTATCTTGAAACTATCACATTAAAGAATGTGGTCCATTAGGCAGTACATTTTAACATGTGGGCAATGAAAAAATAGAATATTTTGAATACTAGCAATAAGCAGTCCCAATCAGTGCATCACACTTCATTAGTCACTTTACTTTAATCTAAATTTTTAAGTTGAAAACCACTAGGGGGTGCTGTCGGAGCAATTATATATAGTAATGAATGTATGGGACTATGTAAATTGTTGCCTCTTCAGTAACAATTTCATTTATACCAATGTGTCAGTTTATAAACTGCTCCAAGATTACTAATGTTGAAATTAGGAGTTGTCTCATGAGCTGTTCAAACATTTGGCTAAAGAATGAACACACAGAAATTCATAAACATACATGCTCCCAGAAATAACAAAAAGTAGGTCTCTTTCCTTTGTCGCCATCCCAGAATAGTTTATTATGGGCCAATGTTACAAAACACAGAAGGTCCCTTCCTCTACTTAAAATTAGATAACAAGGAATATTCTGACAATTAAGAAGCTCAATTAGCTGAACATTCCTTTATTCCTTATATACCTGAGTAATTTACAATAAAATAAAACCTGAACATACTCTAGCTTCGTGGTAGATAAAATATTTAATTTGCATACTTACTTCATCCATTTTCATACAGGTGCCAAAATCTGCCAACTTCAGATGCCCATGTTTATCCAAAAGCATATTGTCAGGCTTCACATCTCTGTGTATCAAGCCCATGGAGTGAATTGCATCCAAAGCAAGGACAACTTCAGCTGTGTAAAATTTGGCCCATTTTTCAGGCACATCATAATTGCTCATAAGGTTTACAAGATCTCCACCCGGCATATATTCCATTACCATGTACAAGTATCGGTCATCTTGAAAGGCACAAAAGAGCTAAAGCAGAAAAGAAGGAAAATTACTTGAGGGATATTTGAAAAGCAACCATCTTTCTATTATGGTTTCATGAAACTGTTCTTAGATAATCAGAGATTTTCAAGATTGTTGTAAGGCAAGTTCAATTTTTTTTAAAGTTTCTAATAAAGACTTTGCTTAATTTAACAGTAATCTAACATCTGCTAAACTTTAAAACTGCCTTATCTCACAATCTTAAAAAAAACTACTAATTTCTTATTTATTCCATTTATTAAGTGCATCTCATTCTGTTTCTCAGCATGAAACCCAGTCTAATGAGGCATCATTGAAATGTCAGCTCCCTCTGAGATACAAGTACAATTCAGAGTACTGGAAATAGCTAAACAGAGGCTAGTGTCTCTAAAATTGCTTTGAAATTTCATTTCTGTATTATGTTATAGCTCCTAAATATTTACATAATTATTATTTGGAACTCATTACTCCTCTAACATCACTAAGCAAAAGTAGAAATGATAAATGCAGGTTAATGTACTGTGAAGTGGAGATGCATGAAGTGATTAACTGTAATATATACCAAGCTATATTTAATTATTAGTACAGTTAATATTTTAGGTTACTGGTGTATTGAAAGTAAGTTTATTTCTTTACGAATTATTTTAGAGGGTTTCACTGAATGCACTCTAGGACTTTCACCTCTAGATCCCATCCATTTGAAAACAGCCCAAGTAAGGCCATGCCATTACTATGTAATTGGTCAGTGGCCAGTATTAAAATGAGATGGCTGTATTTACCTTTTACATACAGAGAATCACATCTACACACTTGAAAATGTTTCAAATTATAACTATTTAATTCTTAAATTAAAAGTACCAAGAATTTTTTCCTGCATTTAGGTTTTCATTGTTACAGATTATTGAGGTACATGGGTGCATAAATAGATACTTTATACTTAAATCCACTTTCCTCCTCCCTAATATATTCCGTAATGACACAATGCAATGTTTGTGACCTCATCATTGAGCCACATTACAAACACTAATAAAATTAATCTGGCAGAATAGATTAGTAGAAAAAAATTCAGTTCGCTCACACATTTTTTGCAACTGCAATCTGACTCACAATTTTCCCTTTACACAAAAATTATTACAATTTCAAGTAGAGTACACATTTGAGGCTGTTTGAAAATTCCATTTCATTTTATACTGCAGCTGAAGTGATCAAGCTAAAAGTTAGCCTATCAATATGGACAAATATAAACTAAAAAAAAAAAAAAAAATCAGTGATCCTGATTCTCAACTCAGTTACACTGATGTGACTTCTAAATTGAGATCAGAATCTGACCCATTATTTGAATTTATATGCATATTCAAAACTGACCCCAAAATTAAACAGATTTAATTTAAATTTAAAAACGACAGAAAAACACTCCTTACTTGAACCACCCAGGGACTGTTGGCAAAGGCCATGATATCTCTTTCTTCCCAGAAAAAGGCTGAATCCGATCTTTTTATCATCTCAAATTTACTAAGAAGCTTCATTGCATAAACCTTCTGTGATGTTTTATGGCGAACCTGTTGGTTAAAAATGAGGGGGAAATTGTGGTTTTAAACAGACCTTTAAAAAAACAAAGTAAAGCTAATTTCTTACCTGCTAATTGTTTTCTCTGACGTGGCAAGTCCCCTACATCAGGTGGTAACTAATCCAGATTTCTATGTCTGCAATTTCTAGGCAGTCAGGAAATCTGTAACTAGTTGAGAACTTCCAAAGCCAGAGGAAAAAACCTTATACTTACTTCTAGCCATTCTGCCAGAGTCTGTTAATCAAATAGGGTAATTTAGAGGGTGTCTATACTGGAGTCACCATACGAAAGACACTAACAGGCAAGAGTAATTTGTTCTTCACTGATATGCTGACACGTTTATAAACAATGGGTTGGCACAGCAGTGACCTGACCTTTGTCAAGACACTGCCTTTAATGAGACATGGACCAAGCTTGAGATTCAACTGGGAGGTTGGCACTGAGAGAGATTTCTTTTGAAACTGCTCGAGTACAGAACATCCAAATAGTCTAGAGCTCTTAATAAGAATGGAGACAAGATGGAATTTAGCTGAAATGTTCCTCCCTCCCAAAAGACTCACTGGTTTAAGACAGACAACCCCAGGAAGCAGGCATCTAGTCAGATGGATTGCTATGTCAACTGATTGAGACTATTACTGCAACAAAGCACTTGGAGAGAGGTTCCTGAAATTAGTCTTAGAATTTCCTAAAATTTAACCGGAACAGTATCTACTCTAGCAAGAATGCCTGCTAGCAGGAAAAGGGCATGAAAATGACGGACAGATGACAGAGATATAACCATCATCTATACTAGTGACAGCCACATCCTTGAATTAGCACTGCTCAGCTCAAACTTCACAATGCTTTTTGAAAAGGTATCCAGATCTAGAACAGACTAAAAATAAGATGTAATTACTGAAATATATTTTTACTGCAAATTCACACATGTAAATGGTGACACTGAAATCTAGCAATCATTGACAAATCATTTTCATCCACCCATTTAGAACACACATGCCCCACACTGAAAACAACAAAATAAACCAATACGTGAAAGCCATCAGGGCATGTGGAACAGGGGTAGAGGAAAAACATATTTTTACATCTTAAAGCATAATGCTTGCAATCCCTTATACATTTTTATTCTAACAAGTTTAATTGCAGATTTTCAGTATTCATAAATGTCTCTTTTTTAATACTATTGAGCTTTTTGTTTCAATAGTACCTGGGGCAGTGAGTTCAAAGCTTAATTATACATTGTTCAAAAAATATTGCCTTTCATTTTAAAATGTGTTGATTTTTAACTTTATAAGACATCATCTTGTTATTCTACTACAATAAAAGGTAAATAAGAACACCCAACTGACCTTCTTTATAGATTTCATTATTTCATATACCCTTATGTCACAACTTATCTAAACTGTCCCAATATTTCCATGTCTGTAATCATTTTATTTGCCCTTCTCTAGACCTCTTCTACTTCTGTTATATTATTTTTGAAATGGATCAGCAAGAACTGCATTCAAGCATCTCATCTATCAATAATAGTATGGTAACATTACAGTGTTATTGTCTATCCTATTCCTAAAGCAAGCTAGCATTTGTTTACCCTTTTTTTTTAAACCAATACTGAGGAAATGCTTTCATTGAACTATTCACAGTTATACCCTAAACATTTTCCTGAGTTACTGCAATTAATTTAGAACCCAATATTTATGAGTAACTCCATTTGTTCCTTCCAGCGTGTTACTTTACATTTGTCTACATTTAATTTCACCTGCCAGTCTTGCCCAATTGTCTAACTTTGTTGGGATCTTTGGAAGTTCCTCATAACATTAGTCTTGAGTAGCCTAAATTGTGTCATTTGAAATTTTACCATCTCAATGTTCGCCCTCTTTTCCAGTTCATTAAAGTATTAAAACAACATGTCTCACTACAAATCCTTCGGGCAATCCACTTTAGAAACACAAATAGAAATAAATGGTCAATTGAAGGAGACTAATCAGTTCCTCAATCCATTTAGGCTCAAACTGAATAAATGGTCTAAAACTTGTATTACAGGCTAATTGAGAACTTATACCACAAAATCTGGAGTAGTTCTGGAAAACTCTACAGTCGGCAGAGTTTGGACATACAACCCTGTGGAGATATTTGATAATCCCTGTGACATAAAAGAGACTAACTGGCACTTTAAGGACCCACTAAAGGCTTTTAGTTTACTTAAAGGGATGGATTCAGAAATTATGGCACAATATAGTATTGAAGTGAAACAAATATTCAAAGGACAGATGTCTGAATTCTCCTAAAGCTTCTTTTGAGGACTAAAACAGATATCTGAATCATACAGAATACAAATTTATTGCATCTTAGATATATGAATGCATCTCCCTTTTTGGTTTTACAAAAGGGATTCAGCTTTCTTTTACATAGTAAATAACCTAAATTTGTAAAACCAGAATCAGAAGGTTAGAGATTTGATTGGTGTATTCCAGGACAGACTATTTAGTAAAATCAACTAGAAAACTATTGATCAGCTAGTGACCAATTAAGTTATGCAACTAAACATTGTTTATTTTAAGGATGTATCGATTTGCATAACAGCATATGTCTTATGCTCCTATTGATCTCATAGTAAAGTCTTTAAAATGTGCACAGCCTCTTGCCTCGTCTGTAACCATGGAAACCTCAAACAACCACCTCATTCTGAGGAGCTGCAGGCATTACAGTTCCTTGAGACAATAAGCACTAGTTGTAGGAGCAGAAAAATAATCAAGGCACAAGACACTCTGGAAAGCAGCCAAAACATGTCTAGAATCATCATTAGGTATGTGTATACTACGTTCTTGAATACTTGAGCTTTGCGCTGCCTAGACAGGTATGCACATTTTAGGGATCAGCCTCTTACACAGCCTGTTACTAGGCAACAACTTTCCAGATGGTTAGCTCATGGGAACTGTAGATTTAAAAAAATTACCCATATGCGGCAATACCTCTAAAGTATATACAATTTAAGGCATTAAGGAAATGTCCTCACATAAGATTACTTGGAGAACTAATTATTTTCCCATTCCAAATATCAACATCGTGCATAGAACTGTTGAATGCACTGAAAGCTATATTACATAAACCAGAGCTTCCATAAATCCTTTTGCTCAATTGCAGAAGAAATATTGGCACAGAGGCCCTCAGAGAAAAACCTACTCATCGAAGGAATTGGGATAAAGCTGCCTAGGGTCAGCCCTAAGTCATGCCACCAGTTTATGATCCCTAAGCGATCACTCACTACTGGGGAATCAGAGTAGCAGTTCTGGGGTTGGTGTGGCATGCACAGCTGACTTTATGCCAAAGGAAAGTTTACTGCCACTAGAGAAATTCTCTGCTGGCCAGTTACAGACAGAAACCAAATCCTACATAGCACATGTGGAGTGCAAAGCAGTGGGAATGGAGACAAGAATCTGTCTCACTGACTGAGCTGGGGGTGTCAAATTATCAGGTGGCTAAAAACATTTCCTGAGAAAACAGCAGAATACATCCACTATCTCAGTCAGCACTGAGAAACAGAAGTACCTCAAGACAATGAATAACTGTAGCAATGACACATCCATAGATTTGCTGTGTCCTGAGCAGGCCATGTGTGTGAAAGGACCTAGGGGAGATCTTTCTTGTAGTATCAATATGGCCATCAGTGAAGCAACTAATTTAGAGGCATCTAAGATGAAGAATTATCAAGCCATTTCCTCAAAGCAGTGTGTGTGTGTGTGTGTGAGCGTGTATCCCATCCCATCTCCTAGAACTGGAAGGGACCTTGAAAGGTCATTGAGTCCAGCCCCCTGCCTTCACTAACAGGACCAAGTACTGATTTTTTGCTCCAGATCCCTAAGTGGCCCCTACAAGGATTGAACTCACAACCCTGGGTTTAGCAGGCCAATGCTCAAACCACTGAGCTATCCCTCATGTATCCCCCCATGTATGTTCACTGAGGTGCTAACATTTGTCTAGGCACCCGTGAAATTGTCCTGATGCTGTAAACAGCATCCAATTGCACTGAAATGAGATGCCAAAGTTGAAAGGAAACTTATATCAAAACATAGGGGGAAAATCTGTCAAATTTCCTTCATGTTGCCACCATGCACTACAGCTAGTTTCATTCATGTATGCTTTCTTAAAGCATCACAGTTACTCTATAGCCTGGTCCCTGCTTCATTAATGAAATGTAAAACAAATTAATGGTGTCTTAAAAGCCAAGCCTCCCTAAGACACATTCTGCCACCACATAAGAGGTGCACTGAAGACCCTCCCAATCACTATATCAAAAGGTAATCTGCATATTGAGGAAATGATGCGGCTGTTCTAAATAGTCAGCTTTCTCCATGCATCAAATCTAGTACTGATAATGGTGCCAAGTCTTGTCATGGAGAGATAAACTTAAAATCCTAGGGTGCAGAAAGATTTTGAAAGTAACCTAAAATTCGGGTGACCAGACAGCAAATGTGAAAAATTGGGACAGGGGGTGAGGGGTAATAGGAGCCTGTCATAACTATAAAGGGAAGGGTAACAGCTCTCTGTGTACAGAGACTCCAAATCCTTTTACCTGTAAAGGGTTAAGAGGCTCGGGTAACCTGGCTGACACCTGACCCGAAGGACCAATAAGGGGGCAAGATACTTTCAAATCTTGGGGGGGGAAAGGCTTTTGTGTGTGCTCTTTGTTTTAAGGGGTTGTTCGCTCTTGGGACTGAGAGGGACCAGACATCAATCCAGGTTCTCCCCATCTTTCTAAACAAGTCTCTCCTATTTCAAACTTGTAAGTAAAAAGACAGGCAAGGCGTCTTAGATTTACTTTGTTTTCTCAACTTGTAAATGTACTTTTACCAGAGTGCTTATCTTTGTTTTGCTGTACTTTGAACCTAATACAGAGGGGGGTCCTCTGAGCTCTTTAAGTTTGATTACCCTGTAAAGTTATTTTCCATACTGATTTTACAGAGATGATTTTTACCTTTTTCTTTAATTAAAAGC